CTGATGCAATCGACTGCACAGATAGCGATCTCAAACATATAACATTATTCCTTCCCCCTTGTGAATTATGACACTGTCTCCTTTAAGATTAGTGTATCTCGAAGTTATTGGAGAACAGTCTTTATCTACGGTGAACCACGTTTCCGTGACAACAATTATATCGGGACCTAATTCATTCACCATCAAACTTAGCTAGAAAGTGTTATTTCTAACATCACAAGCTATTGTATAGCATACATTTAGAGAGTTCTGAGAACCATTCGTCCTACCCAAACAGGTATTAGAAGCCATTTGTTGCTACTTTTTTCTCCTCTTTGTTTCCACACAGTCCTCCATATCCTATCGGTCGGGATAGCCACATTGGGACTATTTGGGACGGTAACAGCTTCATCTGTGTCATCGAGTACTACTGTAGAATCGTAACTATTAATTTCCAGTGGTATTTCAGCCCTTAATTGCTTCAAAGGAGGTTTTGCTGTCGCATATTCCGCATTCGGTTTTCTGGCTCGCCCCGTTACAGCACTCACTACTCTGAAATATTCTTTGTTGTCAGTGCCCACTTTACAAACTCAGTCCTCATCAACATTTTTGTTGGCCAACGTCAAAAGGTTAGTTGCCCATTGGATCAGTAATGTCTTACTTGGACGGTAAGACATACAAAGCCGATAAGAGCTTGGCTTCGAGCATCTTTTGTATGTGGTGAGAGTTAAACGAGTACACATCTTGTGGAACTACTGTCTGCACCCATTACATTTCGTTCCTTTCTACACAGGGAAGAAATAGCTTAGGTGTCCACATGTGTAAGTAGAGACAACGATTTTGAAAGGATTTTAAAAAAAAGTCGATAAAATACGAAAGATCACTGGTTTGACAACCGAGCAAAAAAGCAACGCAAAACGGATCTGAAGAGAATTGTAAACTTTAACCGAAATAGTTCATTTCAAAGTCAAACAAGTATGCTTTGATGTAATAAATACACAAGTGTAAAGTTAACACACAACAGGGAGGAAATCACTGCTTTTTTTAAACACATGTCATTACACAGGGTCAATTCAGTGTCTGATGACAGACATAATTGACGAGCCAATGTAAACTACCATGTTATTCGTGTTTCCGAATTGCGGCATGTTTGTAGAATTTTGGTCTAGTTTAATATCAGTACATCTGTCTTTGCTGCTGTAATAATAGACCTAATCCAAAAATTGTAAATACGCCGTAGTGTGACTACATAAGTTGTAAGATCTCACGCGGAAATCATATTATATTACAAACTGACTCGTCGTACGTGGTAGCCAGCAATATGACATAAAACACTTCTGAAAAACACATTTGAGCCGGGAAGAGAGCAGTATATTTAACAAAAATGGTAAGCGGTTATAAAGAGCAGAGGCGTCTGCATGGCCAAGCAATTCCATCTCGATTCCTTGTCAATGCGTTCACCATTGTTGACCATCTCTTTAGGTAAATGTTGAAAGTAAATCTCACGCTCAGCTTCGAAAATCGTGTTGTTAGGATCCAATACCACTGCATGATCTCAACAATTCAGTGGATTCAGTAAGGGTAAACTAGTCACTTGAACGTACTAATCGTAGTGAATCTGACGGTTATTGAAGTTTTGCTCGCCTTTCAGTCAAGTGTATGCGTTTGCTTCAGAGAAATGTAGTTAATAGAACCAGCGACTAGTATGTTATCATGTTAACTATCAGTTGGTTTTAATAAGAAAGCCTTAAAATTATTATGCACACAGAAAGTTAAGTAGAAATAAATAAGTTTGTTAAATAAATAAATCATAGTCCTCAGAATTCCTTTAGAAATTACCCACTGACGGAGCTGTGTCCACGTCAGCTAAAAGATCTTACAGGTACGGCAAACCTGCAGTGTGAAAACTAAGACCACGAGCGGGTGCAAATACACTGGTAGGCATCCAGTGGATGGTTTCATCGTTGGACACAGTATTGATCACCACTGAAAATTCCTTATCGAGGTCACATAGGGTAATTAATGATCTATATGTCAGGTCACCTATAATTTATTCTATAGCCAGGGAGAAAAACCCTAGGCAGTAAAGTTGGTTTTAAGAGGATTTATTCTTTAAAATTGTTAGTCGTTTCTTTAATGTCGGAACGTGTGCAGGGATCAGCACGCATTGCTGAATTCGAATAAGGCAGGAAGTAACGGTGGCTTTGCCTGCATCTTCCTGTCATTTATTGTTGATTTCCAGGCTTTGTGTCAGCGAACCACCTAGGTCACTTTCCATCTGGATTCTAAAGAGAAAGAAGTTGCTTCATTTCTCCTATGTTGTTTGAAGAACCATTATTTGACATTTCAGGAGGTTAAATCCCACACTAGTTTTTCTGCAGTCGCCCAATAACCCCGAGTCATTCCGAAACCCATGTTAGTTGCCTTCACGTCTCACTGCTCTTCACAATTTAACTTCTTTCACGCACACAAAGACTGGTTCATATAATTGTGTTTTAATATGATGGGAATTTTTCGGCGATTAAAAACTTATGAGTCTATTTATTTGAATTCATTAAATGGGACTTACAGGCTAAATTTGTGCATCAGTTGTATAAAATGCATGTTTCATTGCCTAATGCAGGTCGTCGAATTTAACTTACCTTTGCTAGGAATATCCACGATACATCTGACGATTTTGTGCGGCATAATGATAGTACGAGACAACTTTCAGCACCATATCGATAACAATTAAATAGCTATTGTTACCAGCATTGTAAATGCGAAATACAATTTAAATGGTATGGCTGATTACTACTTTGTATTAAATGGACCCAATGTTTTTCGACATTTTGTTGATTGACGAACTGAATTCCTTAATTGTTAGTTGTTAAATGATTAGTCATTTTATCCATTTAGTGTCCGAAACCTCCGTACCTAGAAAATTTGGAAACATGACATATTCTAAACTGTGGTTAGGACACAGAAACTATATTTCCAGTTTTCTTTGACGTAGAAGAATGGATTTGATAGTAATAATAATAATAATTTATTCTCAAATAACAGATTGTTACATGAGGCATGCCGGTTTGCAGGCAAGATCAAATTGATGACTCATGCGAAATATAGTTTTCTTATTTTCAACCCCGTCATGTTATTCTGAACGTCTAACAATAGCTTAGTAAAAAATGGAAAAATAAGTCACACTAACCCATATCGTTTGCTATTGTTTGGAAGAAAGACATTGTACCCTGAAAGTTTGTAATTAAGCTGACCAACGATTATTATGTGTGCTACTGCTGTCAACAGAAATAAGTAGTATGTTACATCAATCGAGATTGAAATATCTGGCGGCAGAAGGTTAAGAAGATTGAAAGAGAGGAAAGAGAACGTATATTGATTGGTGTGGAAACGAGGGAACAATGAAGTCTGAGACGATTGATCGACGTTTTGAAAACGAAGTATCTACTGTATGATTCTCATATTTTACTAAGAAGCTCTGTAATTTTGTGTTCATATATATTTAGCTGTCCACGCACATATTCTCGTTCACTACACTATAAGCTATTAGACTAGGAGAATAATTGAAAAGATGAAATAAATGATTGTGTTGTTTCTGTATTTTTATAACGTAGCCCATTATTAAGTCAGCAACGTTTAATCCACTCGTAATATTATACTAGTTTCAGACCAGTATTCGGTATTTATCTATATACCTACTAGTGAAGGCTTACAAAAAAGAGGTTGCAACATCCAGAAAACCTCATTCTCCGGATTTACATTCAGTATGGATGCTTATGTGACATTGACACTCAATTAACCGAAAGTTTTAAGACACAACAACTCGGTAAATAAGTGGCACCAACGGAAACGAAGAAAAGCATATAGAAGTAAGAATACCAATATCTGAAGGGTTTTTACCCAGGTCTGTACATTCAATAGGTTGACCACTTCAATTTGACTCAAACTTCAGCATCCAACAAAAAGAATTTCCTCGAAAAGTTACTCGTAAATCCACTCAGTTGATTGATATTTTTAACAGCAACAGATATTTGCAACAATCGACGAACATGAATTGAATACCCCGCCGACAGTCACTTAAGTGAATTAAGTGGTTAAGAACAAGAATACGGTCATAAGGTGCTCAGCTTGCAGTAGGTGTTGAGTCGCGGTTGAATACGATAACCACTACAAGAATATTACGTAATGGGTATTAGGTTGAATCACACCGAAGGCCAAATATCAGATGACAGTTGAATGTTGTAATATGATGTAGTTGTTGGCGATCTCGTGGCATCGAAATAATACCGAGATCGTGCCACAGTTTACAAGCGAGACTACTGGGCGCACGACAGTTCAACCAAGGTCACAAACAGCGGGAAAGTGTGTTTTTGGTACACTTGAACAAGCAGATACAGTAAAGCAATCGCTGTTAAAGTTGGTTATCATAACAATTGTTTCCATTATGACAACCATGTTCTCTCCAAAAAAGCAGGTCACTACAAGCTGTCAAATCCAAGATGGCTAGTAGAAAAAAGAAAAATAAAGATCAGCAACTTTAACGAAATCAGAGGCTTCAACATGGTTTATGATATGCCAACTGTAATATCACTAGGTTTTTTCTAAGTCAACCAGCAGTGGGATCACTGAATATCAAACAGTTTACTGGTCCCCTTCAATGTCAAGAACATCGAGCATCAGCTAATTACACGTCTTGGACCGACTGATGCGATGGTGGTCGCACTCCATTCCGCGAACTTACTCTTGCTGATATATTTCGTATGAACATTGTTTATATCGTTCGTTCATCAAAGTAGCCATAATACCTGTAAAAGACAAAGTTCGATCCACGTTAGGCACTAGTCGTGAGGTGTGAATTATATGTTTGCTGGTTGATACACCATTCCCTTTTGACCTTGGTACTTCCCAAGTATTTGACACTGATCACCCACGTTGGTTATCTACAATGATGACTGAAGACAAATCGAAGGAGGAACTAAATCCACGCACATGTAGACAAAAACAGAATAGGCAGTACTGAAATGAAAAGCAAAGGAACAGTTGTAGGGTAAATCGTCCACAGAGAAATCTTCCCACATATTACTGCAAGGACTTACAAAATTGTTAATCTACCAGCAATTCGGCAATGATAACTGCACTGTTTTACCATGATATGCATAAACTGGGCAAAATAAGCAAGATGTCTGAACGGTCTAAAAATGTCATGGATACTCAGAGCTTAACCGCACTGTTTTCCGTAACAATTTTCTAAGATCCCGAAGCTGATCAAATGAGGGATCGCAAATGAAAGAGTTAGTAGGTGCAGATGTAAAATAGTCAGTGTGTCGAAAAGTAAGAGATCTAAGCTGACTCCTTGTCACATAGGATGCATAGCACAGAGTACCCACCCATGAACCGGTACGAATGTGTGACCGAATGCCTTCAGCAAGGGTGTATCAATGAATACTAATGACGTCAGAACCAATGTCGAAGATTTGCGGAGCTATATATTTTAAAGACTTAACGCTCTACGTCATTTATCGTGTAAGGTTGCCCGAATGGTACTTCAGAAACGTAGGCCTAGTCGAAAGTATGAAATATCAAACAAAGTCACCAGTAAGAAACTCATTGCTTTTCAAGAGTATCAGACATCCCTCACAAACATGAAAAGTATTTCCATACAACCAATTTAGATCGAGAGAATATAAATGCAGTAAACTAACATAGCGGCCGCCCGAATATACATTTAAGCAAATCAAAACTAACAGCCACTAGAATATCCTGTGAGACATAAGTGATGGAATTAGAGTCAGTGGAACAGAAAAATATATGTCGTAATTTTATCCTGTATCGATGATACATTTAAACGAGTCATGCTTGAAGCACGAGGGGAGGGGACTAAACACGACATCCTAGAACGATTTCTAGTTGTGTACCGGACGACCACACATAATTTGTTACCAAACTTCAAATCCCCTGCTGAGATGCTTATGTGATGGGAGCTCCGAGCAGTTCATAGTGCGACGACACCCAGGCGATTGGCCCAGCAAAGCCCTCAAATGCAGAATACTCGAATTCTTTACGAAGTTGGCGCGAAACTGTGTACGCTGGACTATAGACACAGATGTGATAGATGGATAGAAGGTGAAGTTACAAAGAAAAATGGGAATGTCATGTGTGTTGTCAGAGTGAACCAAGATATCTGGACTAGGTGCCATAATCAACTAAGGCCAAGGGCAGCCAAGGAACAAGGTGAAACAACGGAACGCCTCCCACTCGACTGACTTTTGGATGCTTTTCAACTTCCGCCAATACCTCCAACAGAAACAACTGAATAGTCTACTCAATCAGAACACCCTTCAGGTTCTGGATTGTTACCTCGAAGGTGGTCGGATCGCAAACGAAGACAACCGAAGAAATTTCAGGTAAACCCTCGGTTGAATGGCTATTAAATTTTTCCAAGGAGAGGTTTTAGGGTATTCATAAAAATATCCCCCAAATTACGTTGAATCTAATTCTATCTTGAAGGTGAAATTGAATGTTTTCACACTTTTCACATATTTCACATGCTGTTCCCTATTGGTCAATATTTATATTCGTCCTAACTACAACTTTCACATGTCATTTCCGATTGGTTAATATTCACGGTCGTCGTAACTGTATAAATATGCATTGTCTGTAAATTATATTCATTCTTCTTCTGACCTCATAAACAATTTTCATTTAACGGTTGTGTTCTGATGTATTGGAGAACAGTATTGAGGTCTTACTGAAATATCTGGAGTTGGTCAATCGGTAGAATTTCGAGTAACCGCATGGCATTTCACAATAACGTAGCACGACGAACCCACTCATAATCAGGTGCGGATGAGTGGCCAAGCGTCTTCAGCTAGATATGTTCAATAAAACTAATGGGGTCGGCATGGAATATCGAAGACTTGCACAATTATTTATTTTGGGGATTCATTTACCGCTACGTATGTATGCGCTACGCAGCTAGTCAAAATGTGTGGATATTCAACTAACAGGTTTCAGCTGGCTGTGTGCCAGGTAAAACTAATAAGATCAGCATCATTGTAGGAGACTTACAAAGCTTTTTACTTTGTGCATTCACTTACCATCAGAATGTCAATGAAGACGCCACAGGTATTGTAGTTTGACAACACTAACTAGCAACAGCTATGATTGAATCATACCCACCCAATGAAATCGAAAGTCAGAAGTGAGGAAGTTTGAAGATATGTTTGATAGATTATCAATATATCGAGAAGTGACTTATCTAAACTGGCTAGCTATCGAGGAAGTTGAGCACGGCGTTCCCAGTCGTGATCTGGTGCGGCTGCATGACCTTCAGCTAGGTGGATCCATTAAAACTAATGTGATCAGCATCTAATGTCGAACACTTACAGAGCTATTGGTTTTGGGAATTTATTCACCGCTGCATCAACACCCAACTACCTGTTTACTACCTACGTGTGTCATAGTCGATTGAATAAACTAAAGTTACTAGAGGTGAAAATCTTTAGCAAGCTAATATGCGGCTAGAAAGGCGTTTAGCTGAGTCGTGCTAGCTAATTAAATGTTTTAAGTACCAAGGAAATGTAAATTCTTGTCCAGAAACCCTGTCGGACCATTCTGTTAAACATGTTCCAAATAACATTGGATAAACCAGGAGAAAATCACTGACAGATCAGGACAGCATTATCTGCATTTTGCTTTTACTGATCGTGGGCGGCAGTAAAACCCCCTAATACATAACAAATTATAACCGTAATTGAACATACGTAGTATTGGAAATTGAAACCGCCAATATAGCTTGTAACCGATTGGGCTATACTTCCTGTGTAACGTCAGCAATACGGTAAAATAGAAACGACCTTTGATTTAAAACTATTGATGGATTAATTATTTTGATCAATACCTTGTATTCTGTGTAGTTGCAGTTAGTTAAAAGCTGATCAAGCTGAGGATTTATGCACTTTTCATCGGGAGGTTTAATATAACGGCGATTCCAACCAACCGATCGGCTTACACACTACACTGGTTTCAATATCCAGTTTATCTTAATTTGGGGTTTATTTTATTGGTGATTATTGTCGGCTTCCTAATAAATATACGTACATTTTATGCTATTGCTCGGTCGTCGACTCGCCTTTTCTCATGTTCTCATTTTCTGTCCTCCTTACGCTACTGTTCAGAGTGGCTCAAGTGAGTAGGAGAGAATTTACTAATGCTCACCTAGTAGACAAAGTACTATCTGGCTGAATGTGAACCTTCATAGGGGACATTCAGTCGTACTGTACACCAATATGTGAGTGATGTACTTCACACTTGTTAAAAAGTCAGTCAGTTATTTCCGACAAAGCACCGGGTGCAGACAGTTTGGCTATAGAAGGAAACACGATTCATCGTAGTTTAAAAGTTTTGTGTGTTACTAGGACGTACTGCGATCCCACTTACGTGTAGAATAAACCATCGAGTTTGAGGTCCTTCGAATAGATCATTTTTACTAAATACAAATATATAGTTAAATGACGTTGCGATTTTCGAGTCTGATCTATGTAACCCCTTCTTGCTTAGTATTGCGGTACCTACTAAGAAATAAATGACTAAGCTACAATACAAAAACCTTCAAATCAAGTAGCCATCAACCAGTATAGTCGTATTAATATGGTTGCTCTTTAGATGTTCTTCCCACTTACCATAATTAAATGAATCATTGTTCCCCCCAGTATGCCATTTGTTAATTAGTGTTTTTTGGGAACTTACTACAGACACACTATTTTAAGTCTTTGTTTAGTGACTTGTTAAAGCCCACTAATCCACTCCATAGTTTATTTAGGCCTGGTTGATTGCTCCTACAGGTTAAGTAACCGTGCTAAAATAAAAGTCAGGAAGATAACGCGATTTAAGAAAAGCGAATCCTAATCCCTGATCTGTAATTCGCTACATTAACTGACTCAAACCCATTTATTGCGTGCTATCGACTAAGTTAGTCCTTGATGTTGCGGCTGAATATTGACAGTATGCTAACCTCGTGCATAGCTGTGATCCTATTAAATGGACAAGACCCTAAAATACCCACGACCCACTGGAAATAGTAGACCTGAGCCTGCTAACATACTGATAATTGATAAAATCACAATAAATTAGTGAGAAAAGTAAGAGCCCTCGTCAACTTCCTTTTAGTGTTTCCACGAAGCACCGAACCACAAGTACCTTGGGATATAATGCAGTTTTATAGTACTGGATTTTTAAATTCCTCTAATTACGTGCCATCACTCAGTTAATCTTGGCACCGATTTCTCGACTGATAACAACAGACAACTACAATCGGAGACTGAGATAAGTCCCTGAGTCAATCAAGCTGATAAGACCTTAGTTTACATAAATTGAGGCAGGCGGCAGCAGATCTGGATGGTTGAACCGTGTAAATGTTCATAGTTAGTAGTCCAGTTAGACTGACTATGGTACTAGCTAAAATCTGGAAACTAAGTGTAATCCCGTACGACTGACCTTGATCTCCAATCGTCCTATATTTTTTAAGACATGACAAAAGCCTCTGATTTTAGCCTTCAAAAAACGGTCTAACTGATATATTGTCTAAAATATTGGTCTTAATAGTCATCCGACGCTTAACCAGGGACAATGAAGAGCGAACCCGGGAAAATCAGGTTATTTTCAGAACTGAACGTGGATTTGTAGACTAAGTATTCATCCGTGTTCAGGTTCTAGGACGGAAACACCCACTGACACCCGACTGTAGTGAACTTCCTTAACGCTAAAGCAACGTTCAACTTTGTTGACCAGGAGGTTTTTCGGCAATTTTTGCCAGTGAAAAACCTACCAAAAGAGTCCATCAACCCTGTAAATAATATACCCGAACGTAACTCGTTAGATCAGAAATTATGTTGAACTGTCATCGCAATTGATGACATCAAGTAGTGTTCGTCGGGGTTCCTGAACCTTATCCATTTCTATTTTACTTTATCATAGACATTATTTGAGAGACCACTCCTATCGTCTAATTTTTCAAGAATTGGTCTATCCGGAGATTCGCTCGTTGACTTAGGTCACCTAAACAATGTGGCTCTCTTTACTAAAAATGTCAGTAAAATATAGTCTTCTGATAGCTTCGAGCAACAATGCAAACATGTTAATGATTCATTTCTGTTTCTCCAAATCCAAAGAGTTGCTCCAGGACTACTAGTCTGTATCATCGCTTGGATTAACCATAAGCTGATTGTGTCGACCACTTCACTGATCGCGTAAGCCTTATCATCCTTTTTGTCTGACAGGATCTTGAAACGGATCCAAACAGTTGGTTTGGCTTTTGTCAACTTGTGGCATAGAGCAGATATCGGTATGTCAATCCAAAGATAAGCTTCTTGAGTGGTAGTCCGCTTTAACCTGCTTTATGACTAGAATTTGACCCTTGAAAATAGAGGGTATTTGTAGGATACTCATATTTGATCATAGATGCCCACGAAGCATTGGCCGTGTATGTTGGAACAACAATGAACAATACTCAAGTTAGACGTAGCGTACTAGATAGAGATGACAGATCGATTGATGAGATAGTGGATTTTCACCGATCGATGTGATTGGGACATGTATTACGTATGCCCAACCATCTACCTCGACGCGCGTCGTTTTCTGGTGTAGGGGTAATTTGAAAGAAAGCTAGGGGTAGCCAAACCAAGATGTGGTACAAGTTCGTGAAGTAATGCACTGTTGGACTGAGTCGTGTTGGTAGGTGGGGAGTTTAAGGTTAACACAATCATCGTAACCAATGGTTGGAGGTATTGAGTGACATGGCTCCAAATTGCTTACAATGGTGCAGACACACTTATGTCAGGTTTTACATTGAGTTTAGCAAACTGTTACGGGAGGTGACGATCAAATGTAGGTGAACTGACGAGAATAGTTAGTTATTATATTTGTCTAAATTAAAATAATCAACGAACGACTGGATTCGCCTATCTTATTGACTTAATGGAGAATTCCGCTTTTTCCTAAGTCGTCTATCTTATAGTGCACAACACGTCAACCAGGAATCTCCAAGTGACTCTTTCCTGGACTCATCTTTCTAGTTGTTATCAAGTGGTACTCAATATCGTAATGCCTGCCTCCGCTCCCCGGGACTATGTGTTCTTTTGTCTGCCTCTTTCCTTTTAGTCTTCAGGATTTCAGGTTAGGATTTGCTTTGTGATACGGTTTGATGGTTTGTGTAAAATTTGTCGTATCCACATTCAACATCTTTCCCTAATTTCCCCTCCAGTTGGCATCTGATCTGTTCTCTGCCACAGTAGGTTATAGCTGGTGGCGTCTGGTCAACGGATTTAAAGTATCTTATGTAGACAGCTGTTTATAAATATTAATGCTTCTTTGATGAGTATGGTTGCAGTAGTTCTGCAAGTTTCAGCTCCAATATGTGGAAATGTTTTGACGTTTGTACTGAAAATTTCTATCCTAGTGTTAGCTGACAGTTGTTTAGAGTTGCAGATACCCTCCAATTGTAATAATGTAACCCTAGTCAGTCTATTCAAAGTGTTTTACCCGTCTGTTTTCCTGATGTTAATCTTTAGTGATTGGTTCTTCTTTTTTGTCGCTGACTAGTTCTGGTGAGCTTTATTGTCCTAATAGTCTCCTGATTATATCATATGGTTCTTCGAAAATCTCTTTGTTTGCAGCTTTTCTATAGTATTTGCCAGGTCTGCATATTTCATTTTTTAAAGCTGTGCTGCTCTTCACTCGTTTGTTTTCTTTTGTGTGATTGGCCTGTGTCTTTCCCACTTCCGTCTTTGATTTTCCTTTCTTGAGTCGCACTCAGGGTGTTTTCAGAGATCCATTCTTTGTGCCGACTATTCGATTGTTTTTCCAGGGGTAGCGACATCCGGCATTTTAAAGTTACTCTTTCTTTACTTCTTTTTCAGTTGCTCTGTATTGTAATCCTTTCTATTTGATCATTTAAGGCTTGGAAGTTGTTGCAGTGGTCGCTGTTGAACTCTTTAAACTTGTTAGCATCTTGTATGAACGCTGTATTAAACTTTTGTAATTGTGTCTACCCAGTTGTCCATTTTTTATGTAGCCTGAATAATATCGTGTATTCCAATAGTTGTATGTGGTTGCTTGACTTTTTTTATCGTTTTAAGATTAGGATTTCAGTATGTGTGATGACTACAGCCACATATCTGAAAATTTCGTCATTCTGGTAAAACGATCAGTGATTAACTTGAATAACCGTTTTTCTTTATTCCTTATTAAGCGGAATTGTAAATCTGAATTTACTCTTTATTTATAGGGAACTATTTCAACCATGTCAAATATTTTAAGAGGTCTTGATATATCCACACTTACCCATCAATCGTTGAAAGATATGGGCAATCAACTGTTCAACTCATGTCAGTATAACGAAGCTGTTCAATGCTATACACATGCTATCACCCAACAACCAAATATTTCCTCATACTATTCAAATAGAGCATTGTGTTATATCCAAATGCAAGATTATTCAAAAGTTTTGTCTGATTGCAGGTTTGTATCAATTTACAATACCTTGTCGAAATTGTGACATTTATTTCAGTGAATTTCAATATTATTAGTACTTTGTGGAGACATTAGTTCACGCGTATATCTGGGTGAATCGGTTTAGAAATTATGATTTGTTTTACAGTCTATAGAAAGATATTGCTAGCGTACTAATAATCATTGAATTATTAGAATATAAGCCTCAAAATGTGGGATGACAGTCTTATTTTTGAGACTAACAACTTCATCTTTTTAAATAAGTGATCACTAAATTACGTAAGCGTGGTCTATATTTTCTCAACACATTGATAATAACGAAATTATGGAAGGTTAACTAAAAAGCATACGGAGATGCATGTATTTTATCATTTTATCACTTTATAATTACAAGGTAAGAAAGCTTCAAGTTAATGTTATAAGGCATACAGTTCAATGAAAAGTATTTGTTACTCAATACTATCAGTATCGACTTATGGTTAGAGTTTTACTGTCGGATTAATTAAGTAAAACGTCATGTTCAATGTTGATTGAACTAATCGTAGTCCTATTCCATAAAATGTGGTACTATATTGTTTTTGTTTCTTTGAATATAGTCTCTTTGGCACTCAACTAGAAAGTGCTATATTGATATAACAGTTCCTGTGCATACTGTCTTGAGTGCTGTGACGGGAGTCACGTGTTTTGATGTGAAGTAAATTGATAAATGAATAAACGTATGTTAAATCTAATCAACCACAACCTCAGAGTAATATTTCATTTACAGAAAGTATTTTGTTTTCTAGAACCAATAACTGATATCTCAATCTCCCCATTAAAAACACTGGGTCGTGATTAGAACTATAAAATTCCATCAGTTGTATGTATAGTACTAAGAAATTCTTCGAAAACAAACCCGAGCTTATGGAAGCATAGGTTGTCGTTCGTACTGCTCGGAGGAATTCGTGTAACAGACGACTTTGTTTTGCGATAATTTTTGAGTGTGGTTGGTAAATTTATGAATAAACTAACTGACACAGATAAATCCTACTTTAATCTTCAATTAACAGATGTTTTCAAATTAGATTATTTTTGACATGCACTTAGATGTTATTTTTTATGCCACGATACTCGAAAATCATAAAGTAGACTGATAAACGTTAATGGATAGGTCTTTTATTTTCCGTTGCACTTGAACTTCGTTTCAAATATTAATTTGATATGAAGTTAAAATAACTAGAATCGGAACCAAAGTGTTTGTTTTCAGCCGAATATTACAATGGGACTACTGAACATCTTATTTTGCTTGAAACGTTTTACTTGTCTACGAATAATTCACATAACTACTTTATAAATCTAAATCTTAGTGTAATTTTTATGTATGTAATCCTTTGTCTAGACAGTCCTTACACCCAGTGTCAGACATTTCCCACAAAAGTAAGTCAAACTCGATAACATGTATTAGGCAATGAACCATACATTTTATGTAACTGGTCCATTAATTTCATTTATCTCACATAATGAATTCAAATCAATAGATTCATAGTACTTAGGTCTTCTGATATTAGGAAATATTCACAGGGAGACTAAATAAGCCTCGTATTGGTAATCTGGTCAAACATTGGGTTGTTTCAAACCCGTAAAATGCTTTGTTTTCAGAAGGTAGATCATACCAACAGTATTTACAAAACATGCGGCTTATCATTGGATTGCGTTTCATTTCAACAGCCGTTAGGTTTTGCATATAAACTTCAGTTTCTTTATTCTGCCGCCATTTTTACTTAGAAACACAACGAAAATTGGCAACCGTGGTAAGATGAAACTACCTGATGTGAATGAATGATTCGTGGTCTGAACAAGACCAAGTACATAACTTAGTGAGAAAGATATTCGATTGCCTCATAGGTTCACAGATCTCGTAGTAAGACCTGGGATATAGAGTGTTCTCTATTGAATACCGAACACTCTCATACGGCCGTGTCTGTAGATGTCTATGAGTGAGTCCTACTTACCACCTTCATGTAGCGGGTTTTTTGAAAATGGTAAACCGCGAATCAAAATATACTATAGGTGGGAGTAGAACACAAGCATTTTATCTAGAGGAATTGAGAAACCCTGATTTTTGAACAGCAATGTATATGGGCCTAATTTTTTGAGTGAACAAATAGCGAATGAATGTTATATGGTTATTATATACCTTGGAATACATCTTCCAGCTTTGCTCTACTGACACTTTAGTCATATCTCTAGGTCAAAGACCTGGTGAATGATCTCCTGGGAAAAGCATCTGCTTCGGTTTGATGTCCGGACATGTGGTTGATTGAGTTGTTTGTAAACTAAAAGTGTTCTATCATTTTGGGTTCAAGCGGTCGTTGTTCTCATCTTTAAAATTGATCCATGTTGTCCATAAATCATTTGCTGGGATACAAGTCGGTTCCACATTGATTCCAGAATATCGGCTTTCATCAAAGTCTAAAAGTTCCAAAACTGACTCGTGCGTCTACTGATCACTTCTTTTCTCTCAAATCTTGGAACAACACTTAACAATCAGTGTTTTAGTGCATATGAGGGCTAGCTTTGACTCGTTATACTAAATTTCCTTATTGTCTGCTTAAAAATTATCCACCCGAGCTTATCAATATTTTGAAGGGTCTGTACATAAAGAACTTATCCAGGGTGACGACATACATCCACCTTTTTATTGTTCCATTCTATTAAAAGGAGTTATGTTGGGTTTCCAAATTTTACTGTTCGCTAGCTTTGTTTTCGACAACGTTATGCAAAACATCTCTTTAGTAAATACTCGGTTGCAATGTATATTTTATCCCTGGAAAAAGACTTTTCAACCTCAAGCACCCACACGACATTGTTTTACTGTGCGGTGATACATAACCCACTCATACTACACTTAATCAGTTCCAGTTAATTCGCATTTATGGCATGTACTTTGTAACTTCGAAATGCAACGTACTCCAAGGACCACAGTACCATATTCTGAACTTACCCTTTGAAGTGAACCTATGGAAATACTTGAAAGGTCAATGTGTCTGAACCTTGTGTATTCTGTTGTTGATATGACAGATAAAATCAGTGTACACGTAGTAAAAGCCAGAGCTCTCTATGACAATTTCATGTACATTTAGCACCGTCGTTATGTTATTCTTTCTACGAAAAATTGGGTGTACAACATCAGTAAGAGCAGTTTGGCTTTTCGCTCGTAAAACCTGGTCCTTGTGAACCAAAGGTGTTCGGTTATCCTTCCCCCAAAGAAGTGCAACTGGTGCATTATATTAGTATTAGTAAGGTGAGGTAACACGTGTCCAAGATCAGTGATGATAACTCACTTCGGATCACCATCCTGAAATACCAGTTTCGGTGACTTGGATATGGTTTCCTAGTGTCATCCTAAAAGTTTTCAAACCTCGTCTTATCTACCGACATTGATGCCAGGTGCAAAAAAGTAGTGTTCAGTTAACAATGTGGGGACGTAGTATGAAAAATAGTCGTATTGGATCAGCAGCTAGTAATCCATCATAACTACTCGACGGGGTCTCAGAGACCGTATAGTTCAGTAGCTTGAGATATTATCAGAAGCCAGTATCAGTGCTGCTATAGTTTTTTTACATTCTCAATGGGAACAAAATAAACCTATTTATGTTTGTGTTTGTAATTGGACCATTTTTTTTATTAATTACTACCTTTGCCCAATTATTTATCAATTATTTAACCCTTTCCTCCTTTCCCATACAATATTATCACCCCATTTATATGATGTGCTTCTGGCGCTCTGCCGAATCAGGATTTATATGTGTTATTAGTAAATCAAATGTTATTACTTCGTGGTTTCATGCCCCAGCTGTTTGATTCCTAATAAACCTTCAAGCAATACATTCTGTATGACCCAATTTTGAACAAACAAGGAAGTAGAATTTATTTATTCGGAACCCATTAGTCTTATTTATTTCAGTTAATCCCATCTGCTTCCTTTATTTCAGACCTGAGTAACCTTACAGTTTGATAGTTTATTTGTGACATGGTAAACCGAAAAAGCCCTATCTTGACTTACTGTTCGCCGTTATTAAGTGAGAAACGATGAGGCAAATTTAAGATTTGGTAACTCCTATTCTCAACGATTCTAGTACACTCTACGTGAGAATTTAAAATATTTTATCACTCAGTGTTTAAAATTATTAAACGTCGTTTTTCCGTAATGTATTTGTTATATCCTACAGCCGCTTAATACGCTCAGATGATCTTGAACAGCCAATACGCAACAAGGACGAGGAAGACTGACACCATATGCCCAAAGGTTGGCCCAATACTAACTACCCACGAACGAAGAGGAAGAACTCAAGACTAATGTTTACTTGTCCAGCTTCGTTATTTTATTCCAGACATTCGTTTATATACGTACAAAACCAGACCACTCAGCAGACCAATCAGTTAACAGTATTAGCACGAAACAACATTAATGATGGGAAATCGGAATACTAGGTACACAGTTAATCTGTTCTAGTTTTTGAGTAGAGAATGCTATAACAACAAATCACGGTCCAAATAAAAGCTTAGAGCTAGGATAAAAAATAATGAAAGCAGAATACTTAATGAGCATCTAATCAATATGTATGAATGAAATCGTAAAGAAAAGCGTCTAAAGTTCTCTAAACAATATCCAATACGTAAATATAGGTGGAACTTTGAATCAGAGCATTACTTGCATTTCTGTTCTGACTATTTTAAACTTCTATTACTTTCTAAGACGTGCTCGGTCACTTTTATACTGATTATTAACTAGGAAACGTTCTCTTCACATTGCCATTTAGCCGTGTTTATTTTCTTTTCTAACCTCTTGTAGAAAAGCGATTGATTTAGATCAAAACAATTTAAAAGCTCATTTCTTTGCTGGACAAGCACACTTGGGCTTAAATCAATATGAAGAAGCATTAACTAGACTTGTTCATGCCCATAATTTAGCTTTAGAACAGCATCGTAATTTTGGAGATGATATAACTTCAGTTATCCGATTAGCTCGAAAAAAACGTTTTGAAGCCATGGATGAAGATAGAAAAAAGGAAGAAATTTCTTTACAAGTAATAGTATTATTTGTTAAAAAATGGTATTCATTATGAATGATAATAGTTACGTGTCAGAATGCGTAATTCCATCTTTTTATGCTCAGCTATTTGAGTCCCGACCGTCGTTGCTACCTTGACTTGGTGGTTGGGCTTGCCTATCGTGATTAATCAACCAGGCTATACTGGATGGAACAATCGGTCCTCAAGGTCCTACCATGCCAGGCTGGTTGTTTGAAGAACGGTAAGACTGAAAGCAGCGAACCCAAGGTCCTTAGGTAAAGTCGGTCATGTACAGAGGTGTGACGGCAGTAAGATGCTTCCCTCGGACAATCAACATCTGCAGCGATGCTGCCTTCCCACATGGAGGGGTGGGGTTAGAAAGGGTCAACACTAAAAATGCACACCTCATTTTATCTTACGGATTTCCGTCTCAGGCGGTAAGGTCTCAGCAAGTACGGAGCTAACGCAAAAATTACCCACAAAAAGTCGTGTGTGACCGGCTTCAAGCTGTCGTCCCTTGTGCACTGTGGTCACTCTCTCAGGTCACTAAGACCAACTCTAACCCAATTTCCTTCACAGGTACCTCTAGAAGAACCTTTCCACGATGTGGGTAACCGGGAAGTGATAACTGCCGACATACCTCTAACAGCTCTCAAGATCACTGTATTCATAATCAATTTCCCTCTTTAATTCCTATTATTCCTCCTACCTCGACTTTCAACACTAAACTTCCTCTTTCGGCTTCCTCCTCAAGTTTCACTATGGCCAACGATTCTAGTGCTACTTTAGTTGATCTGATTCAACTAAGTTAATATAAGTTTAAATAGTTTTCAAGTCTGTACGGGTTGTTTATTAAAACTTTGAATCTTTATTTTTCGGCTGAATGACTGGTCATAAGTAAATTAAAAATTCCTGATATTTAATAAAGTGGACGATTTTGAAATTGAAGTGTCTTTTTTCAGAAATGTGTTCATCTAGGTATTCAGTTTCACTTTCTTGGTATACATTTGTTTGAAGTGTAGATTGTAAATCACATACCTCTCCATTCTTTATATCTCTAATGATGACCTTTGAAACCTTGTAAAAGCGACATTTTTAGTGTTTTTAGTAGATCAGGACAACATTACTGAAATCAAGGTAAGATAATATCTTTTTATACGAATATTCGTCAAGGTTAGAACGAATAGTTTGACAATAATTGGGCGCCGAGTACAGAGAATTCATTATATGTGAAAAAATTATATTTGAAATAGTCTCAGCGATTGAAGTATATAAATAATTCCATCACTTCTTCATGTGATGACGATATTTAAAACATTATTTACTTTGATGAGCCGCGTAATATTGCTACCCGCTATCTGTCAAGCATACAAAATTTGTTTCTCAAAGTCCAGCATATAAACATCTACTTTTCGTTTATGGAGTGTTAGATTAACTCAAACAATTCTGTAAATGATCACCTCATTGCCTTACATCCATTACATCTTTCAGCTACTCCTATTTGTCGTGGTATTAATGGCGTTCAAACTGCTTGCCTTTATTTTTGACTCAGGTTTATTTAAATAATTTAATCATGGAAGATGCTGCCCGTCAAAAGCAAGTGATTTTATCTAAATTATCTGGAATCAATGGTTCTCTACCAAACTTGGAGTCAACCAAAAACATTTCTATTGATTCGTTATCAACCGAAGATAACAATTTTGAAAACATTTCACCAAAGCACCAAGAAATTCTTTCAAAAATAGATAATACTGCTCAAAAATACATTTCAGAGCTTAATGAACTGTTCTCTAAGGTAAGTAATTATAGTATACTAAAAATTTTGATGCCGCACCACGTGTTATGTATTTGACCATACTTTTGCAATTATGGTTCTCAATAAGTAGATTTAAAAGGCTTGCCACATCCACACACGAATTCCGGATAGGGAATCCTAACCAGGTAGTTCTTTAATATGTGAACTAATCATACAGACTAGACTACCGTAGTATATATATATATATATATATATATATATATATATATATATATATATATATATATATATAACATGGGACAAACGTTGGTGCGTGTAACTGTACTAAAACACATTTAATCTTGTTTATCTGGTATTTTCACTAAGTATTTCAGACCTAAATTCCGCATTATGTAGTTCGTCAGTATCACAGTAGGAGCTGAGAAGTGGCATTTGAAATTGCTCATTTTGTTTGGAAATGATCACTTCATAACTGACAATTTATTCAATTTCTTTCAGTGGCTATTTCGATTCCTTCAAAGAAGGACAAAATCGTTTTTATAGAGTACTGATTTATCATCAACGGTGTCTTTAGTCCCCTCGTCAACAGTTCTTTTTTCTGTTTACCACACCCACCAAAGTATCTACTTCCGAAAGATATACTAGTGTCTTCATGTAAAAGTTTCCTAAAAAGATTAACTAAAAAAACTTCAGGTGTTTTGATTTGCTAATTTATTACAGTGCTTTGTGAAGAATTTCTCCACACCAAATATCACAAATACACCTCATATAAAATAGAATAAACAAATATATGATCAGGGGGTTTTCTGTGGAGATTTTAAGTAATTTTTATATATACTTGAAATCATGGGTCAATTGAAGCTAGACCGCCGTAGAAAACCTGGAAGCACTGGACGGCCGTTTCCAGGTTTTCTACGGTGGTTTAGCTTCAATTGACTCATGATTTCAAGTATATATGAAATATATGATCAATTTGAACGCTTGATATTTTGTAGGCTGTTATTCCAATGTGTCAAGCAATTTACTGATGTGATTTGCGTTCGAACATTGATTCTCTTTTAGGGCGATCGAATACGTCATCTTATTGAAATATCCAAAAATACAGTGCAATCACAAATGATAGCATGCTTGCAATACAAATTAATATTATTTACTACTGACATCATAGAAATGCTTCATTTGGTTCATTAAGCAATATAGGAAGTCAGTTTTTGTTTTATACTTAGCATACAAAATAAACAAATTGTAAGTTACTTACTATTTTATAGGTGGACGAACGCCGAAAAAAACGTGAGATTCCAGACTATCTTTGTGGTCGTATTAGCTTTGATCTAATGCGAGATCCTGTAATCACTCCTTGTGGAATTACCTATGATCGGCCGTCAATTATATCTCACCTGCGCCAAGTTGGACATTTTGATCCCGTTTCACGTCAACCATTGATAGAAGACCAGCTTATACCAAATTTGTCTATGAGAGAGGTTGTACAAGCTTTTCTAAACGAAAATCCTTGGGCTGAAACACTATAAGCACAACAACTACTATTCGTATTCATTTCGAGAGTATTTTTCTTACCTCGCATCATTGCTTCCAAGTCACTCAACTTTACATTTCTCTTCATCTTTTAAACTGCAATGTATTTTTTGCTTTATCGTCGCGATATTTAAATTAAATTATTACCTCTATATCTTAAATTTTACATTTCCTATCTTGAGAAATATAAACATAAATCATTCCCGTTGTTCATCAATTATTCAAAATTCAAATAAATAATTAGCTACCTATTTTTTAAATTTTTTCTTTTAATTGTCATGTCGTACGATCTAACTCCCATTTATGCTTTCTATAGTCTATTCCCAAAGTTTAATACCCATTTTGTGCATTACTGCACGCTTGTTCAAACTATGTATGGCCGACGTCGAGCCGCAGCTTTGCCCCATGTCTCCAGACGTCAGGGTGATGCTGTAACAACAGATACTGTTCAACACGTTGACTGTGCAGAAGCCACTATTGATACACTACATTCTCGTCTACTGAGTCGATCGAGGCCTGTGGGAGCGTCTTTCATTTCTTCATCATCATCCAGTAATTCGTCACGTTCACCACCTCCACTAACAAGACGAACACGTCAGGTTCGTAGAATAGACCGTACTCATCATTTGTCTCAGGTCAGTTCCCACCTATTTTCTATATAAACTTATTAGTTCTGAATACTAAGTTATAAGCAAGATACTTAAATTTGTTCTTAATTCTTTGCTTTACAAGCTTTACCTGAGTCGATAATTAGTGTAAGTGCGTTTAGCTAATCTTATGCTGTCCTGACGCTTGATGAAATGTCTTTTCAGTCTAATCATTTTTGTAATATTATACTGAGTGTTTCTTTATTAGTACTTACTTGCTCCTGTTACCTCTCAGGGAAGAGCATAGGCCGCCCACCAGCATTCTCCATCCAACTCTGTCCTGCGCAATTATTTCCAGTTTCTATCCATCCTTTTTATATCTGCTTCCAATTCAAACGCATCGTGTCCGCTGATCTTCCTCTTTTCTGTTTCCCTTCAGGATTCCAAATTAGCACTTGCCTCGTGATGAAGTTTGGTGGTTTCCACAATATATGTCCTATCCACTCCCAGCGTCTTTCCCTAATTTCCTCCTCAGCTCGAAGCTGGTTTGTCCTCTCCCGCAGAGAGCTGCTACTGATGGTATCCGGCCAACGGACATTGAGTATCTTGCGTAGACAATTGTTTAGAAATACTTGTACATTTATGATGATGGTTGTGGTAGTTCTGCAAGTTTAAGCTCTGTACAGTAGAACTGTCTTAACATTCGTATTGAAGATTCTGACTTTGAGATTGGTTGACGGTTGTTTTTAGTTCCAAATGTTCTTCAACCGTAGAAATGCTTTCCTTGCTTTGCTGATCCTCGCCTTTACATCCGCATCAGATCCTCCTTGTTCGAGGCTGATGCTGACCAGGTAAGTGAAAGTTTTCACGTCTTCCAAAACTTCTCCACCAAGTACGGTTGGGTTGGTGTTCTCCGTGTTGTATTTGAAGATCTTGGTTTTTCCTTGTGTATGTTGAGACCTAATACTGCATAGGCTGCTGCTACACTGGCTGTCTTCATCTGCATTTGTTGATGTGTATGGGATAGGAGGGTCAGGCCAATTGCGAAGTTTAAATCGTCTACTTGATTCAGAGTTGTCCGTTGTATTCCGTGCTTATCTGCATATGTGAAGGTCTTCATAATTCAGTCAACCCACGGAAGAAAGAGAAAAGGTGTGAGCTAGCAAGCAGCCTTGTCTAACACCGATCTTCTCGTACAATGAATCTGTGAGTTGTCCTCTATACTCGATTTTGCAGTTTGGTCCGTCGTATGAATCCCGGATGATGTTGACGATCTTCTCAGGTACACCATAATGTACAGGAAGGTTTCATAAGTCCTCCTATCCACACTGTCGAATGCCTTCTCATAATCAAGGGATTTGATGTATAGTGATAAATCTCATTCCGACGATTGCTCAACAACTGTCTGTAGTGTCTCGAATTCATCTGTACACGACCGGTCCTTATGGAACCCTGTCCGTTGATCTCGGAGCTGAATGTCTTCTGGATCTTTCATCCGATTAAACAACACTGTTGAAAACTTTTCCTGGTACTGACAGTAGTATGATGCCTCTGTAGTTCTCACATTTGCTCAAATCTCCTTTCTTTGGTATCTTGATGAGGTGTCCTCCTTTCCAGTTCATCAGCACTTGTTCTTCCTCTCAAATCTTCCTGAAAAGAACTTGTAGCATGTTTGCAGTTACTTCTATGTCTGACTCGAGTGCTTCGGCATATGTATTGTCAGGCCCTGGTGCTTTCCCATTCTTGGTTTGTCTTATGGTCGTGGTGATTTCTTCTATCGTTGGCAGAGTGACATCTATAGGAAGGTCTGTAGGTGCTACTCTAATGTTCGGTGTATTCAATAGAGCTGGTCTATTCAAGAGTTCCCTGAAGTGTCCCACTGTCCTTGAATTTCAGTAATTGTCTTGCCTTCTTTGTCCCTGACCGGTCTCTCTGGTTTACTTTATTTCCCTGCTAGTTTCTTCGTTGTGTCATGTAGCTGTTTCATATTTCCCTCTCTTGCAGCTTTTTCGCTGTCGTCGCTAGGTCTTTCACGTATTTCCGCTTGTCGGCTCTAATTCTCTTTTTTACTTGGTTGTTTGCTTCTGTGTATTCAGCTTGTGTCTCGATTACCTTTGTTCTTGTTCGGATGTTGTTAATTGCTGTCTTTTTGTTCTTTCTTTCTCAAATCTTGTCCAGGGTTTCCATAGAGATCCATTCCTTATGATGATGCTTCTTGCAGCCCAGCACCTCCTGATACGTTAGAGTTAGTGCTTCTTTGATCCCTTTCCTGTTTTCCTCCATCGTAGTTCCTTGTTCTTTCAGTAGATCCTGTAAGACTTGTAACCTGTTGTTGTGAGTTATCTTGAATTCGTTGAGTTTATTAGTGCCTCGTAGGAAGTCTGTATTGAACTTTTATACTTCTGTTTGTCCAGTCGTCCAGTGTCTCTGTAGCTTCAGTTTCATCTTGTCCACAACCAGATGGTGATTTGAAGCTATGTCAATTCCTCACCTGATTCTCAGGTCTTCCATGGACCTATTGATTTTTTTATTGACACAAATATGATCGATCTGGTTCTGTGTAGTGTGATCCGGTGAGATCCATGTAGCGTTGTGTATATGTTTGTTTGGGAATATTGTGCCACCTATAACCAATTTGTTGAATGCACATAGATTCGCAAATCTCTGGACATTCTCTTTCCTTTCTTCCTGTCAGTCCATGTCGTCCCATGATATCCGCATAATCGTTGTTGTGCATTCCGACTTTGGCCTTTAGATCTCCCATCAGGATTGTCAGGTCCTTTCCTGAGTACTTCGCCATGATCAATTGCAGCCTCGAGTAGAACTGATCTTTATCATCGTCATTGCTATCATTGGTGGGTGAATAACATTAGATGATATTCATTGTGATCCCCTCCTTCTTTGTTTCGAATGATGTTTTGATGATTCTGGATCCATGAGATTCCGATCCTACAAGCGCATTTCGTGCTCCTTTGAACAGCGTCAAAGAAACTCCCTGAGTGTGTAGAGCATTTTCCTCTTCGTGACTGGAGTACAGCAGCATCTCTCTCCCATATCCAGCATTTGCTGTCCAGCTTGAGTTCAATGGGTTTCGCTGATCCCGAGTATTTCCAATTTGTATTTCCTCATTTCCGTTGCTATTTGATTGGTCCTCCCGGTCTCCTACATTGTCCAGACGTTCCATGTTCCTATAAAAATTGTTGCACTGGTTGTTATAAGGAGCATCGGCCCTATGGCTTCCGAAGAATCCTGGCTTTCACCCTGAGGCGTTATACTTCTTCCTTCAACTCGGAGGGTTTAATCCATTAATTCTGGTTAGCATTATATTAGGAAGATTTTTTTCTACAGGATAATGGGGTGACTGACTCCATGCTTTAACACAGCAAATGAAGAACAAAGTAATATCAGTGACTTCATGAATGCTCACGTGATTGCTTTAAACCTAATTACGTAAATCATACGTAAAGAGATTACGTTGTCAGTGACTTATTCCTGTGTGATTTAAAAACCTTAAGAAATCTGAAACGCTACTCCTAAACATTTTATTTGTTGTAAACATCATACTATGTTAGATCATTTGTTTTCTGAGACATTTTATATATGGATTTATCTTCTATAAAAAAAGTTGATTTGATTAGGTCATTTATTTTTTAAAAACATTTTTCTCAGGTAACACTGGAGTGGATACTTTCGACTTTTTATACAATCCTCTAGTTTGTAGTGGATTGAAACGTAACTAAATCTTGATTATTGCTCTCTGTACTAATTAACTCTTAACTTTTCGTAATCATCCTTGTTGCCTTTGTACTTATCACTACTGTATTTTTTCTATTCTGAGCGTCAATCTTTGGATAAAACTGATATTGAGGTTAAAGAAAGCTGTATAGCTCTAATTCTGGTTTTTGTATACTTTGTCCTTTTTCCCAATTCTCAAGAACAAGCTGATCTGATTATATAGTTTAGAAATCTTAGTTACTTTTTACCTACTCCACCGTTACCTCACCTATATATTTGTTGTATTCTACGTGATTTTCAGCGTTCTACTGCTAATCCAAGATCACGTAGTCGTGGTTTATCAGATAACCTAGAACCAAACAATCCAAATGTTTCAGCTTCTCGTCGAAGTCGTCGACGTAATTTCGTTCGTCCTCCATTTCTTCAGCTTTTGTTTTCCTCCCATGGAAGTCCTTCATATCAAAATGAGTCGACCACTGAAAGTGTTAGAATAAACCTGGAGAGTTTTAACGATGATAGTATTCAATTAACTCGCACTGAAGACCTTGATTCCAGTAACAGACCTGGACGTTTACGTACCACAAGGTCTGGAAGAAGAGCCACACGTCGCCTATCAGCAACAAACACGCGTTCCGTACCTTCTACGAATATTCCATCTACTAACCATCCATCACGTGCAAACAATAGTAGGCGCTCTCAAAGTCTTATTGATTGCCCAGACGTTCGGGCGGCTCTGACAGCAGCTAGATCCACTGGTCTTGAAAGTGATGACGATTGTGTAATCTGTTTATGTGAAAAATCAAATCGTTGTGTTGTTTTACCTTGTATGCATACATTTTGTTATGATTGTATTTATCGTTGGCTCAGTATCAATCCTTCTTGTCCATTATGTAAACGTTTGGCTCAAAAAATCATTCATTCTGTTCTGTCCGATACGGAATTCACTGAATTATTAGTATCTGATCTACCAAATAATAACCGACGTAATCGAGTAAATAATTTATCCACTACATTTCGCTTGGATGATGAATATTTAAATGCATCGCCAGATGACACCACTATTCCGCGATCACACCATCATTATCACTATCATCATCATTTAGGTACACATCAAGTGCGTTTACTTAATTATCTCGATGGAGTGACTCGTTCATCATCAGATAGCACTTCGTTATACATACCTCCCATTCTTTTTCCATCTGATACCTCTATATCTCAACCAAGAGCCGTTGGGATTCTTGATACTTCTTCACACATGTCATACAGATGGAATCCAGAACTAGGGTGAGTTTTGTATTTTCTACCCATTTGTAAAAGGCATTTTATGTGTATCATGAATAATACGTCCTCTTTTTAAGTTGACATCTTAAAGGATGAATTCAATTATTTGCATATACATAAAACGATATTTTCGGTTTTCACTATGAGTAATCAATTTTCGTGCAAACTCCACCTTGAGACACTCTAGAGCTACTGTACATTCCAAGTCCGGGATAAGTGAGAGGTTACGAAATACTGATTTGCTGAAAAAAATGTGAAATTGGATTTTGTCGTTTAAGTACGAGGCTCAGATGTACGGCTAGCAACCTCACTTTATAAAAACAATCTCACCAAAAAACGCTAACCATAAAAAACCGTTTAAGTTTTACCCTAGGAGTTGAACGGTCTTCAGATAACACGTCATGGTAAAAGCCAATTCTCTGGAAGTCTCGAGGCCAGCGCACTTCCTGGTAACCAGATCAACAATTAATATGTGTACGTGAAATATAATATCTTAGCAGTGTGGGAGGAGGGGAGAGTCATCAGAATAGCCACAGAAATGGGATAATGCAACCTGATCATGTCTTGAATAAGTGAAACTCACTAGACACAGTGTGAGCAGGATACACTAGCTTCAGGAGAAGTGTTGTTGTGCTCTGGTCATAGGGGTGAAAACACCTCACACACAATGAATTCCATTGACGCTGTCCAAATAAGCACAAAGATCGCTTATAGGACAGCAAACTTATGTCTCCGGGGCCCCCGAATGCCCTGGTACGGCCGAGAGTGAGGAGAGTCCGCTCTCCCTCTTCAAATGCTCTCACATTGCCACGCGTATATAGCCTCTGGCAGGGAAGTCCTACTCACTGCCTTCTCGTGGCGGGGGTGTTGTTTACGAAATTAACGGGGCGAAAAGCGAATGTCCGGCGCTTTAACCAGGTTGGTGGACACGGAGAGCCTACCTAGGGGAGTTGGAAAACCCTGATTCCAAACCAATGATGTGCATAGGCTCCAGTATCCTGAGGTGACAAATGGTGTATGAATCAATCGTTGATCACCGGCTAACATGGGACTACATCTCCTCACGATGCTCCACTGCCTTCTGCATCAGACCTTTAGGTCAAAGGATTGGTATGTGTGACCCTCTAATAAAACCACCTGCTTCAGTTTGGGCACCTGGGCAATATAACAGCCCTTACACAAATCAAATGAGATTCGTGCAGCGCATATATGTATATATATATATATATATATATATATATATATCAATTGCGATGACAGTTCAACATAATTTTTGATCTAACGAGTTACGTTCGGGTATATTATTTACAGGGTTGATGGACTCTTTTGGTAGGTTTTTCACTGGCAAAAATTGCCGAAAAACCTCCTGGTCAACAAAGTTGAACGTTGCTTTAGCGTTAAGGAAGTTCACTACAGTCGGGTGTCAGTGGGTGTTTCCGTCCTAGAACCTGAACACGGATGAATACTTGTCCCTGGTTAAGCGTCGGATGACTATTAAGACCAATATTTTAGACAATATATCAGTTAGACCGTTTTTTGAAGGTTAAAATCAGAGGCTTTTGTCATGTCTTAAAAAATATAGGACGATTGGAGATCAAGGTCAGTCGTACGGGATTACACTTAGTTTCCAGATTTTAGCTAGTACCATAGTCAGTCTAACTGGACTACTAACTATGAACATTTACACGGTTCAACCATCCAGATCTGCTGCCGCCTGCCTCAATTTATGTAAACTAAGGTCTTATCAGCTTGATTGACTCAGGGACTTATCTCAGTCTCCGATTGTAGTTGTCTGTTGTTATCTGTCGAGAAATCGGTGCCAAGATTAACTGAGTGATGACACATAATCAGAGAAATGTAATAGAGGGTACTGAAAAACACTCAGATTAGTCAGGATTCAGTTTCTCATCAACGTGTCTGTCATCTTTTTCTAGTACACCATGTCTGTATTTAGTATTGCTCACTCAGTTATCCTTATATACTGCACCAATCCTTCATGGGCATCTATGATCAAATACTGTAAGTTGCATATACGTATCAAAGTGCACAAATAGTAAAGGATATACGTAGGCTTCAATTATCCTTTCATCGTTAAGTTCATAGGATTGCTCGCTCTGTGTAGGATCATCAGATTTCCAAGTAAATATTTTAAGTTGATTAATTCTGTTGTGAGACCTCATCAACAGATATAGGTGTGTTGCACCACACTTAGTCGCATAATAGATAGATAGACATATAAATTTGTATATAGATTGTGATATAGTCAAAAATGATGGATTGTTTCCTCTATTCCATCCGTTCAGCTATGTAACAAAATTATTCAGTCAGTTTCCTATGATGTACAACTGTTTGATAGTCACCAATGTACTTATATTATGTTCTTGTAGGTCAGCAGAAAATCGTCGGTCACTTCTAACCATTTTGGTTGATAATGCTCTTCGATCCAGCACTTCTTCGCTTTTGAATAGTTTACTACTTCGACAGTTAGTATACATTTTCTGTCTTGATTCCATCCCTGTCCTACAAGAGTAAGTGCATTCAAATATTTGTTTCCTGAAGAATATATAATGTCAAGTTTTATTTATTTATTTTCGTTGTCCATATATGTGGTGATTGTATTTGATATGCTGGTCTTTTTACAATTACCTGCTGCCTTGGTTTAGTGGCTCACGTTGTTTGTTCTACTACGATTATTGAGCTATAATGACTAGATAGAATTTTTACTTTGAATAATACAGAAGTGAACTAGCTTCTGTCGGAACTAGTATGGTAATAGCAAAAATTTCCTAATAAGCAGCAATCCTAGTGGTACGTTTCACTCGTGATATAGAAAAGGTATATAAGGTATCAGCTCTAAAAACACCATTCCAAATTGCCCAGCACCATTCGTCTACCAGTGATATATTTTTTAAGAAGTTAACTACAAACAGGTATTTGTTAAAATTTGGAATCCCACGAATATTCATTTCTTCTTTCCCATAGTTTAGTAAATAAAAATATCTGAGATAAAAAATTACTTAAGCAATATCAGCCGTCAGTCACAATGTAGAACTTCGTACGTACGTACATCAGTTCGAGTTGCCATACCACATTAGCACAGAGATGAAGTTGTCGATTCAAATCCCATAATGGTAGAAGTAGTAATAGTATAAGCAGTAATCTGAAAGATTAGGGTTTGCAGAGGTTATTCAAGGAGTATAATCCAGTGAAATAAATTTGTAAAGTGACAAAAGAAAGGGACATAAATAATTCAGAAGATTAAAATTTGGCAGAACACACAGTGTATGCACCTTCGCCATTGCAAACGATTTTGAGCCATGTCATTCAAGGTCTCTAACCATTGATTGCTATCATTTCGCAGATCCCAACTAGGTAGTCTACACCTACCAACATGGCTCAGTCCACTTGTCAGTGACTTCATGGATTTGTGCCACATTTTGGTCTCGTACCATTGATGTATGCTGTGTCTCCGAAACATGCATACAGGATCCTAGTGTGGTTATTCACTTGACTTAACTTAATCAAAACTGGGGGCCGACGAGATACACTCTTCGTGTATCTGGCGTCCCGGTAGCTAGTTCTCGTGGATTGGTGGGTGCAAACATAGCACTAAGTATGACGGTAGAACAAGCACTATTAGAGTGGATTCCCGTTAACAGTCGCTTATGTGTTGTTCGGCTAAACGGCTAAACTCTGAAAGATAGGAACACACGTCGTCGCTTTTTCGTCGTTTCTGCCTACGCTCTCACTGACTGCAGCCCGGATGAAGTGAAAGATAACTTTTACAGAAAGCTCTCTAAACTTCTTCAAAAAACCAAGTGCTCAGACATAGTGTGGTGTGGTCTACTTATATCCATATAAGTAGTATATGGTGTGGGTCAGACATAGAATGTATTTTGGCAGAAGACCGATGAGGAAAGAATGGAAATGAAGCGCAATCGTATGGAAAATGCATGAGCAATGGAATTAGAGAAGAAACAGTGAAGATTGAAGATTGTTAATTTACAAATTGACTGTTCATTGTTTGGTTATCAGAATTTACCGAGATAGTCTGTAATGTTTGCTTAAATACATTCGATTGTCCCCAGTCGTATTTTGTTCACTACAATAGTACTTGCCGCAGGTGACTTCAATGCCTAACTGGGTAGCTTAAACCAAACAGAAAGACATTTAGGTGGGTAGTTTAGTATTCCGGCTCAGCAAACAGATAATGGTCATCATCTGTTGCAACTATGCTCAGACAATCGTTTATTTAAACAAGCATTAATTTTAAGCATAAGAAGAGACATCGTCTGACATGGCGACCACCTGCACCAAACCAACGATGGGCTCAAATAGACCATATTGCCGTCAGTCATCGTTGGAGAGGCTCGATAGTAGACTGTCGCTCGCTCTGGAATACCTGTTCGGACTCTGATTATGTTCTAATACTAGCATACGTTTGTTTGCAACTCACTGGCTTCAGAAAAACTACACTAAGAAGACCCATTAGATTCGAACTGGTGGACGAGAAAGCCAAAAGTAAGTTCCAGAAAAAACTGAGTTCACATCTAGGCAGTTCTGTAAACGAGGCTGATCCAGATGTTACTTGGAAAGACATACGAACAGCTGTGGAAACAGCAGTAACATCTGTTATTAATTTAAACCAAAGGGTTAGAAAAAACCAATGGATTTCCTCTAAGTCTATTTCACTGATAGACTCTTGTAAACTCATCCTATCAGGCCCTGAACACGATGAAGAGCGTTAACCAAAAGTCTAAGGAACGATCGTGAGCAGTGGTGGGCAACGAAAGCAAACGAAATGGAAAAGGCAGAGGCTGTAGGCAACACCAGACAACTGTTCAGACTAATAAAAGAAACTAGAATTAAGAAGTCAATGTAAGCGAAACAATTCAGGAAAAGGACGACACTCTTATCTTCTCTCAGCTCAGACGTTTAGAACGATGGGCGGAACACTTTAGGGAGCAGTTCAGTTGGCCTTCAGTTACTCTACAGTTACCCACTATTCCCAAACAGCCTGAATCTAACATTAAAGTAGGTCCCCCTACTCTAGCTGAAGTTCAAGAGGCTATGACTCATCTGAAACGAGGAAGAGCATCTGGTCCAGATGGATTGGCTGCAGAGGTCCTTAAATATAGTGGTCCAATTTTAACAATTCTGTGGACCAATATTTTAGCTAAAATGTGGGAGTAGGACGTAATCCCATCTGATTGGTGACAATATCTGATTGTCGCAATATATAGTGAGTTAAAATCATCCTATGATAATAATAGAGGGATTAGTTTGACTAATATAGCATCTAAAATACTAGCCTCAATAATTATCGGGCGCCTAACTAAGACTCGTGAACTGCAAAAACGAGAAAATCAGGTTGGCTTCAGACCTGGTCGTGGCAGCATCAACCACATGTTCACCATTCGTCAGATTTTAGAACACAGACATGCTTATAGGCGTCTGACAATATTAGTTTTTCTTGACTTAAAAGCAGCATTTGACTCTGTAGATTGAGAGGTTATGTGGCAATGTCTGTCATTGAAAGGTGTACCTCAGAAGTACATAAACCTTGTAGAGACTCTTTACTCGAACACCACCAGTCGAGTCAGAGCTTGGGGAGAACTGTCACCTGATATTACAACCTCAAGTGGTGTCCGGCAAAGCTGTCCATTATCTCCATTTTTGTTTAACTTCATCAAAGACCTACTGCTGGACAACTTTACTTATCTTGGAAGTCTGATCAGCCCTAATGGGTTGGTGTCTGACGAAATCTCTGCATGGATTCAGAATGCTCGTTTGGCTTTTGCCGAGTTACGTCACTTATGGCGAAGACCAGATATCCGTCTATCAATAAAAGAACGAGTATACTGCACGGCAGTTCGCTCTGTTCTACTTTACGGCTGCGAAACATGACCATTAAGAGTAGAAGATACTCGTAAGTTATTAGTATTGGACCACAAATGCCTAAGAAATATTGCTGGGATCACCGGGTAAGTAATAGTGATGTTAGACTCAGGGTTTAAGGGAATGATGGTAAATCAGTTGATGAGGTCATTAATCTTCATCGATGGTTAGGCCACGTGTTACGTATGTCTGAACACCGATTACCACTACGCGCCATGCTGACTAGTATTGAGGATGGTTGGAAGAGATTTAGGGGCGGCCAAACCAAAACATGGCATCAGTGCTTGGAGTCACTAACTTTTAGTCTGAGCCATGTTGGTAGATGCGGACTTTTGGCTGGGGTCCGCGTGACTTTAGTAACCAATGACTGGAGACTCTGGGTGATATGGCTCAGAATTGGTCGCGATGGCGTAGGTGTATGCACTCTTTTTCTTCTCTTAAACCGTGAGATTAAAATTGCTTCATATCTTTCTTCCTGTACTATATCCTTATATACGATCTTTCTTTCATATATTACCACCACTAAATTAACTACTTCTATGAATTCAATGTTGATTTTGTGCTGATGAGGTATGGCAACTTGGACCGATGCATATATGTGCCTGGTCCTACTTTGTAGCTGACTGACTACTACATAGTACTTTGCCCGTTTATATATCTAAGCTATAATTCGTAGTGTTTAAGGATTATCTGGTCACTTGTGTCTTGTCCATTTCTACAGTTCACATTCTTAGATTTGTAAATTCTGTTTTAATAAAAATTAAATGTATTGGTTTAGTTTATCTGCCAAATAAAACAACACTTTGGGATTGACAAGAAAAAAGGTGAATCATAAAGTTGATCCAGTAAGATTCAAGCGTTAAAAATACCTATAAATATCAAAGAGTTTTGCATTGAATGAATCGTACAAATTATTTCGAATTCAATTAAAGATGCATATATATATACTACATAACGAAATCAGTCTATTTATTTTGAGGAGAATCAGACGATTTCTCTTGTCCCTTGTAGGATGCTTTTTGTCATCTGTTCGTTTTATGTAAAATAGATTGAGTAAGCACTTTTCTTGTACAAAAACAAAGGTATCTCCTTTTATTAAGAGCTTTCATCTTTCTATAAATTCAAAAATACTTGAGCTGAATTTTAATACTGAAAAAAATAGTGGATAGATTAATAATAACTTTTTTAAAATAGCATCGATGTTTACATCTTTGGTTAGATAATTATGTTCTTACTTGTTGCTATAACTTGAAGCTAAATTTTCTCATTGTTAAGTGAAATTAAACAATCACTTTTCAGTGTTTTACACTAGTTATAGTGTTATAATAAATGTATTTGGAAATTCCATTTGCTTACTATGACTTATTAACAGATTTAGATCGATTGTTATCCAAATCGATCCAAAGCAGCAAATAGAACTGAGTTTATGTAAATAAAAATTATTGTATTCGTTTATTTCGTGTTATATTTCATCTCGATTATTAACGCTTTCCAGTCAATTTACCTAAAATTTAATCTTGGATTTCTATATTAAACATTTCTGTAGTAATTAGTTAGTTTCACCAATAAACATTGATCATTTTTTGTACTTATACAGGTCTGATCTCACACGAAATATCAGTCCAGAATTTCTAGCAGCAAACGAAACTCATAGACACAGGCTCGCATCATTCGTCCGTCGTGAATTACGTGTTATCGCTCCATGGCTTGCTTATGACATTTCTTATGGTTCGCAAGGAAGTCGTGAAAATTCGGAGGATATCGGGTATTATAATGCCGCTGTAACATCTCCTCTTATATCTGGTCCTCCTGGCTTAGAGGTGGAAACAAGGGAACTCGACAATTTAACCAATATAGTCTTGCAACACATATGTACAGTCCCAATAACAAATGAACAGTCACTTGTTGATCTTTTGGTAACTCAACCAGCTCTTCATCCATCACTAGTACCCCGTGTGTACCTTCACCATCTAGCCTCAGAGATTTCGCAATTCGCTCAGTTCACCGGAAGCATGGAAGAATACGATTCCTCGGTTTGTCTGTATCGGCGCAGAGTTGCTTTGGGCGGATTAATCTCGTCATCAACTGAAAGACACAGGGATAGACAGTTTCAAGGACTTTCTCATGACCCTCGTTTGGCTGTTTATATTGCTTCCGCCTGTTGGCCTCGACTCCGTCCGGGTTTCGCCCAACCTGAAGGACTCATCATCCATCCTCTAATCAATTGGCTACTCCAAAGACTGTTCGTTCATGCTGTCTCTGGCGCTTCTCATCCTGATCCTTTACCTGGTACAGGAGATCCTCCGCCTAGCCTACCTAGTCCATTAGTATTTCATGGTCCTTCACTAACTTGTCATCCTAACTGTCTTCGTTTAGGAAGTTCTTGTCATGCTCTTCTTGAAGCGATCATATCTTTCTCCAGATTAAGAGGTCAAACGTCAGGGAGGACTATTAATTTGAGTCATGATGGATCAGTAAGTACCTCAGAAATTTTCCCAAACCGTCTCTTATATCAACGCGTTTTAAGTGAACTGATAGATCAAGCACGGTTCAGTGAAGCTCTTAGTGGTCAATTCAGTCAATGTAATGATCGTACCCGACTGACGTGCCTTACACCACAAAATGCAGAAGAAAATTCTGTAAGTTCAGTTCCAAATCAACGCACTAGTAGTAGAGTATCTATCCGAAATGTTATTAGCGTAAGAGAGCCTGCTGATTACTTACAACCAGCTATTCAGTCCCACCCACTTGCACTAAGACGTCTAGACGGTCTTTTACTTCTTTTCACTGCACGCGTGCCTGGTTTAAGAAATGATCCAGAACACCTGATCAGTGAACTATTACATATGCCACTTATGCCGATGACCCTAACTCCATTAGCCGTTATTGATCTCACCAGCCCGAGGTCAGTAGTTAATAGATCACAAACATTTTCCATGCAGTCAGAAGGCCGAGGACAGTCGTTAGAAAACTTGGACACGATAAGAGCACCATATGCATCAAGGTTCTCAGGAATTGATTGGACATTTCTAAGACAGCCTTCACACTCTTTGTGTCCTCAAACTGATCGTTCTGCTAATTCAGCTACTAGTACTAATGGAATTACTAACGATGTTAATTCTGGTGATTGGAGCTCGGCTGCATCGAATCAGCAAACAACGTCTAGTGACATTTGTCCTTTTAGAGGTAGTCGGATTTTCCCCTTGGTATCTTCAGTTGGATCAATTGCATCAGCTGATGAGTCTCCATCAGTGCACAATTCACCTGGTGGTTGGCGTGACACGGCTCCATATGTCGTCATATCATCGGACTCCTCTGATGAAGAAACAATAGGTCATAATGAACCGTGTGTAGCTCCTGCTCAATCCAATGTATTGACCTCTGACGATTCAGAACCAGGTCATGAGTCTTCCCCAGATAGTCGAACAAACGGATGTGAATCCACTGCATCTCTTGGTTCGTTGTTTAAGACATTTTCAAATATGCCTTTACAAAATGACTTTCCAACTGTAAACGAATCTGTTCAACACTCAATCCAAGAAACAGACAAGAATAAAGCTTTTCATTCAAGCACTGCACGAAATTATTCAGATATTGACAACATGCACAGTGTAACTACTAAATTGTCCCTTAGTTCATCAGTATTGTCTTCCACCAACACAAATACCAACTGGAGTGATAGTTTCACTGAACGGTATTCATCCATACCCCGTCGTGAAGAGCCTATGGAAATAGACGAACGACCTGATGAGATTTCGTATTCGACAATCCCATCATCCAGTGTTTGTGGTTCATGTTTAGCTGATTTGCCTAAGAGGACCACAAATCTTGTATCTGAAAATAAGTATAGTGTAAAATCCGATTGCTCAAAAAACACTGAAGCTAATACTGTGGGAAACAGGTTAAACATTTTTTCCCCTAGAAATTCTCTTAAATACTATTATCACTCTCAAACAAAGCACGAAGCACATTATCGTCATCGCAGGCGAAAGTTAAATATCAGTCATTTGGAGAACACAGATAGTGATTGTGAACTTATTAGAGAATCGATTAAAATAGATAGTGATTCATCGTGTTCGACTTCTAGATCGGTCTTCTCATCAAGGTCGTCATCCTCTTCAAGTGAATTGCAGCAAACTTCAAAATTCAACTCAGCAGCAATGCGCTTGCGTAATTCTTCACGTCAACGTAAAACTGTCCATCGTAAAAATTATCACTGTCACCGTAGTCGGTGTGACCGCTATCATCGTAAGTGTCGTCACAAGCATTCATGCTGCTGTTATTGTCACTCAAGACGTCATCATAAGTTATCGATTCATAAATATCATCAGAGTCCTGAGAAACTAGTCAACTTAAACAACCCATCTTCCCCAGTCGTAATTTCAGACGGCGACGATGCTGATGAATCTCATAAAACTGCTCCTGAAACAAGTAATTCTCCTAATCTCAATCAGCATCCAGGTCTACAAACTGAGGAGACTTCGCAAGATGTTTTATATGACCGTCTTGCTAATGAAAATTCGCTTTCACTCCCAACCACTCCAAACCACAACAGTATGTTTTGCCTTCCTCAAAACGACTCTGTTTCTGCTGATCGATCTGACAATGCTCCGTGTAGCTCAAAAACACATACTTCATCTGTTAACGATTTGAATCATTCAACAAACTTCCCTATTTATGAACCTCCTACAGCCACCGAGTTTTATCGCTTACTCGCTAAATTTGAAAGTCAAGATGATGACGGCAAAAATCTTAACCCAGTTGTATGTGAATCAACGCCTACAGCATTATTATTGTCTAATAAATGGAGCCAAACAGATATAGTGAAGCTATAACTTCTGTCAATATTTCTGGACTGTTAATTTATTAAAAAGTACAAGCTTAAGTTGTCTGTTGTAAGAATCAAAGAAAAAGTGGTGGATAAGTAAGTTGTTCAAAAGTGAACTTGTAGTTTTCGTGTTTATAAAGGAAAATGTCCTTCTACTGTATAGTATTTATTATTGACCTCTCTTCTGATTTCTCTGTATCTTTACACAATAACTAAACAAACAGTACTCCGCTGTTTCTCTTTTCCAATAACATTTTGAGAAAAATGATCGCGATTTTCTGCACTAAATTAGAGCTTTTCATTTTGTTGTTTTAAAACCTCTAATATCAATTCCATGATAATTATCATGTTTGCAAACTTAATTTACATTATAAAATGTACGTTAAATTTGTCGATTATCTAAATGATTTATCTCATTTATGAGTCGCTTCACAGTGCTCTAGAATAGGTGACAAGATTTATTGGACTTTGATTGTCTAGTAACTGACTGTCACTGAGAAAAGCTTCTTACGCAGTATTGAAATTCTTCAGCTGAGTAGGTGGATTAATTAAATGCGAATAACTTGCAGTAACAGATATTTTGTAGTACATGAAAAAAACATTAACACCTTCGCCATGTGTTATGATAAGAGAAACCGATCCCTTCAGAGAATGAGTTCTACAGCCTTATTTGAAATTAAAAGTGATATCCCAGCAAAATTGCGCAACCTAGTTATTTGTAAGTTGTACTTGGTTAGCTTAGCTTCGTTGATACACCTGAACCATTGTAAACGATTTTGAGCCCTGTTATTCAAAGTCTAACTGTTGATTACGATAATCACGTGAACCTCAATTGGGTAGTCTACATTTATTAACACAGCTCAGTTCAGCTGTCATTGACTTCATGGATTAGTTCCATGTTTCGGTTTAGTCGCTTTCAGCTTTCTTCGAGCCTATCCCTACGCCAGACAGTATCGCCCTTCGACGTAGGCAGTGGGTGGGAATACGTAGTACGTTTAATCACCTCACCAGATGAAGATTTACTACCTCATCAATAAATTTCCAACTCGTATCTAGTGCCCCATTCAAACTTAGGTATTGCATACTCACTGGTCCTAAAATACACGAGAAATGCTTCGAAGACATATATCGCTGAATACCAGTCAGTCAACTACAACGAATACCCTCTGTTCTTAAAGGCCATGTTTCATAACCACAAACTAAAACAGAGCGAACTGCCATGTAGTATAGTCGCACTTTAGTTGGCAGACGGATATCTCGCCTGTGCCATAAATGACGACAGTTCAAAAAGGCCGATCGAGCTTTTCGAATACGGAGAGACCATCAAGACTGATGAAACTCCTAAAATGAGTGAGGCGGTTGCATTTCGAGGAGAATCACAAACCAAATACGTTTACATTGTTGCTTAAGGTGGACGGAAGACTGCATTTTACCAGCGTCTTCACCAAAAAGAATTATATCATCTGAGTATTCGAGGTTAACACGTGGATCTCTCGCAAAATCAAGCCCTGAAAAGTCAGACGATGAAAGTGTTATCTTTGAAAGCGTGTCTATGACAATATGGAGAATGTGGACAACCCTAACGAATATCACTTGAAGAAACCAATCCCAATGACAGTTTGCCATAATCTCTGACTCGGCCAGTAGTGTTCGAATAGAGAGCATGTACAAGTTTATTGAACTTTGGTATGCCTTTCAATGATAGTTTCATAGGACCTCACGAACTAACAGAGTCGAACGCCACGTTAAGGATAAGAATTACATCTATTATCGGACGTCGAACAGTTTGTATTTTCCAGAATCTGCCGAAGGATAAACATTTGGTCTAAACATGGTTTTCGGGTTTATTCTACACGATCTCTAGTCAGACATCGAAGTATCATTGAAATTATTATTCCAGACACTTGCTAAAACTGACACCTCAGTGATTGTTACAATAACTTTTGTCCTCTATAATAGACAAGGATGATCGTTCGCTTCTCAGATGCTAGCCAAATTACCGGTTGGTCTAAATTAGGAAACTGAAGCACGGTCATTAAGACTCTCATTAGTTAAGCCATCAGGCTCTTCTGATCTTTAAATTGCTTGTAAACTCACTGAGAGTTTTAGGACCCTCACCAACTCATCATTTGTTACTAGTTTTTGAAACGAATTAGAATTTTCGACCATTAAGTTGAATTTCAAGGAGTCGTCTTGCTGTGGCTTTTCTACATTCAGTAAGATGGAAACAAATACGTGCCCACACAAGAACATGATCTTAGTCTAAATATATGCTCCAAAATGTGTTCTATTGCGCTTCGACGACGGATGATGGCGAAAGTCTTGACTCCATCGTAGAGTCGTAAGGCTCGCCATGTTAAACAATACTTAAAGTTGATACCTGTTATAAAAGGTTTGTCTGAGGATGGTTGCAGAGGAGTCACCATCATGTGTCCGTTGAGCCGCAACAGCGTGCCGTTCGATCTTGTTTTGCTTTCTAAATCATTAAAATCAAATGTCACTGTGTTTAACCACTTAGCTTTTTGAAGGAGGTTAAGAGGCCCGAACAGCAATCGGTAGGGGCATAAGCACAGACAACAAAGACAGAGCAACGTCCGTCTGAGTTATTACTGTGCAGTTTATTTAGATAGCGGTCAACTGACTGTTAGAATTCAGTCAAGGACAGCCTGTTAGGTCTATACATTAGAAAGGTGAGGCCGAACGAATATCCGTACATGGACTCGAGTCCTAACTAGGAAAGCTAGTAGTCCTACATGACATAAGGTTAGAACAGTACATGCTCTAACATGTAGTTTAGTACGTAGTGATAAAGATATGATTAAAATTAGTGGAGTGGATTGGAGAATCAACACATGAAGGAGACATGATTGTGAGCAAGCTGGTCCTGGAGGTCTTTAGATATATGAAGACCGTTGTCACTTCCCAGCTACCCACGCTGCGAAAGAACATTCCTTCTTTAGGGACCTGAAGAGGAACATGGTTTAGTCGTAACGTCAATGAAGCGACGGGGTGATCGCATAGTCCAAGGGAACATTGTTTGTGACAGACAACACACAGCATTCCCCTGCGAAATTTTAATTTTACATACGAACTTCCGAAGTCCTTGCAGCCAAAGACGGAAATCTGTACAGTAATGTGAGGGGCGATCTTTTCTAGGCCACTTGCTTCCGTTATGAGAAGGCAACATCACTCGAGATGCCGATTTCATGAGGGAAATACTTTACTGCCGTTCGACTATCAAATCATGATAGCAGCTACGGTCGGTTCTGAAACGATTTATAAAATACTTATCCACACATGTTGCTCCATGTGATGTTTGTCAATTATTAGAAAGAAATAACTCTATTGAATTCCAATTGATAGAGAACCAGACAAATGTAACTAAAATTGTTCTACGTCAGTTTATATTGCTCCATATACTTAGAAAGAAACGCACTAAAACATCAACAAGACGTTACCGAATTACATTGTTTTAATTTATAGAGCTGATACTCAAACTTAAATACTTCTGTTTTCATTATGAATAGTATAACTTGCTTTTGAAACAATAGGCAATAAGATCAATCATTATATACAATTGAAATAGATTTTAGTGTGAAATAAGGTGATACAGACAGTTTCGATCTAATTATGCTTCAGTAGCTCGGAAGTGATCATCATCCACAGTCGAATATACATGACCCTCAGCACTAAGGAAATCCAAGTCCTCCCTGGATAGAAACAAACAATAAAGACTTGTAAATAATGAAACTTAGGTTTCAATAAAGACGAACATTAACAAAAAACTTGTATTTTTCTACAACCGTCATTAAGAAATTTGCTGTTATTAAAGAAAAATAATTTCCCTTTTACGTGTGAACTACTACAGCAGCGAGAAAAACGATAATGGAAGAATTCGTGTGACTCTTCTTACGATATGAAAACTAAAATGGCGTGCAACAGCACTTTCCAAATTTATACAAATAAAAACGTATTTCTAGTTTTATGAGAACCAAACACAGGAACTTAATTAACATTTTATAAGATATCAGGAGAGTTAAAACTAGCGCATAGGACGATTAGCGGGAAACGTTCCAGAAAAGTATATTCAACGCATCACACTATCAGTTGTTGTATAAACAACGTGCATAGACTTTGGCTAGTATCATAGTCAGTCTAACTGGACTACTAACTATGAACATTTACACGGTTCAACCATCCAGATCTGCTGCCGCCTGCCTCAATTTATGTAAACTAAGGTCTTATCAGCTTGATTGACTCAAGGACTTATCTCAGTCTCCGATTGTAGTTGTCTGTTGTTATCTGTCGAGAAATCGGTGCCAAGATTAACTGAGTGATGGCACGTAGTTAGAGGAATTTAAAAATCCAGTACTATAAAACTACATTATATCCCAAGGTACTTGTGGTTCGGTGCTTCGTGGAAACACTAAAAGGAAGTTGACGAGGGCTCTTACTTTTCTCACTAATTTATTGTGATTTTATCAATTATCAGTATGTTAGCAGGCTCAGGTCTACTATTTCCAGTGGGTCGTGGGTATTTTAGGGTCTTGTCCATTTAATAGGATCACAGCTATGCATGAGGTTAGCAAACTGTCAATATTCAGCTGCAACATCAAGGACTAACTTAGTCGATAGCACGCAATAAATGGGTTTGAGTCAGTTAATGTAGCGAATTACAGATCAGGGATTAGGATTCGATTTTCTTAAATCGTGTTGTTTTCCTGAACTTACACCACAGTTAACTATCCTGGAATTTGCCTTGATAACATCTCGCTGTGCTAAAATGGTGTGGCAACTCAAACATGCATATAATTTTCAGGTTCTAAGTTGCTTATGACAAATACCTCACGCGGCAGTACAAACTAACCAGCAAATCAAGTTTGAGATGTGTAATTTAGCGATTGTAAGTAGAGTGCTTATGCTAATGAGACAGTCACAAGGGTAATGTACATACATTAGTATCCAAGGAAGGGTTAAATCATTCAATAGCAAAACTTACTGATTTAATAAGATTGAAGCGAAACCCAATAACATTGTATTCACATGTTTGGAGGGATTATGACTACGCACTCAAAAGTGTAGTATAGAAATGCAACAAAAGGCAAAACAGACTTGCTCTATCCAGTAACAGGTGAATTAAATACAAAAAACAAACAATTATCACAGAAAACTATAACAAACCTTATTTGCCTTTCGGGTATCCCACGCAGCTTTTCCGTTAATTGGGATACAGGAATTCCACGCTCACCAACAAACGTTCTAACTATTGCGAGTATCTGATTTTGCAAGACAGTGAGTCCATTACTAATAGAACCAGGTACATTATGCGAAACCCCCTCGTTGAAATTACTTTTGACGTTCGTGCCATTATTCTCATCTTGTTTGATTTTTGTATACAACATTCTTGTATAAATCACTTCCATTATATGAGTAGTAAGTTCATTCATGTCTGACAAATGGATGACCTTAAATTAAAGAAAATCTTTGTATATGTTCATACAGCTGTTAATAATTAAGGGTCGCTAAACCTGTAAAAAGGATATTGCTTCTGATAATTTGTACGCTGCATATTAGAAACGAAAATCTATGAAAATGGCAGCAGCCTCCTGGTTAAAGTACTCGGCTTTCATTCAGTAGATTGCAGGTTTGAATCACATCCTACGTACTGTTTCAGGTAAGCAACACGACTTAGATGCGAACCTTCCTAAAGATGTAAAGGATATCCCCCTTGATAGATTTAGACAGTGAAATGAAAAGATAAGTTTTATTAGAACTGTGATAATCTCAAATGAGGCAGATGAGAAACATCTAACCAACTATAACTAGAAATGAAACAGGTCATATGAATAATATCAACTCATTTTTCGCTGGACTGCGTGTAGACACACATTCAAGTCCATTGGAGCCTAAGCTGTATTCAAATTCAAACTTAACATCTATGTTCAAAAAAGTCCACTTACATAGAAACCGGACCCAGTAATGTTGACGTTAATGTGATAATGAACGCATGTTTTCCTCATTACAATTAGTGCTTTAGAGCTAGATTTTGAGGTTGAACAACTTCATTATTTACATAGATATTTTAAAGCCATGAATTACATTATTTGAAATACACATGTGATATACTGAGCAGTTTTAATTCGGCACTAGAATACCTTTAGTATGCCTTAAAGTCAACCTTTAGGATTTGTAATATAAACGAAAATATAACTAATGACATAGAATTTTCAAGACAAAAAACTGTTCCTATAATACTTTGGTTAACTTTAAATAACATACTAATTTAGGATAATCTACCACCCGAAATTAAATTCCACATACGTATTTATTTCACATCATTGACAAGTAGTAGCCAACACTGGGAACAAGCAAAGCTTTGGTCACATTCCAAAAATGTTTAAATATCTGTAATAAGATACCGATAGGGATTTGGTTTGACTAGTTGGGTAGGACACTCGAAACACACATAAGAACGATCCCTGAAGAATCGATAACACGCAAATAATGCGTCACACTAACTCCAAACTTTTTTGATGCTTTATACATCCTATGACCAACTAGCGCCAAACAATCGAGTACAAGTCTGTACGATAGCTGTCCATCTAACGTTAGTTATGGAACTAGAACATTTGGATGACCCAATGTTTTACACTCAACACAAACAGCAGCGTTGATGTCAGTACTTTTTTTATATTTAACATGTAAAATCACGCAGGTTCTAACAAAACTTGATATTTGCTGCGCTATATATTTGTTAGACAGAAAAATAGAAGCACACAAGAGAGGACTTTTGACAGAATGAAATACACTCAGAGCTTATCGGTCGCAAAATAACTCTGTAAGAATCTACACTGCAGAAATGGATATTATCAGAGATTTCACTACAATTTCGGTCCCTTAGACAACTCAAAGATTCTTTTTGATTACGGAAAAGTTCTTCTAATTAAGAGACGCAAAGCAAACTTAACATACTCGGAAAGCAATAACATGTTTGACTCCCTGGAAGTTCCGGACATGACCATGTACTCGTACATACGATAATTCGCGAAACGGACGTGATTGTGGACCGGAAGATGTATTGTCCTGATCCTCTGTAAAGAGTTTTACTGGCAAACATGGTCCTGTATAGTCGTCAATCTCATACTCTACGCGTGTACTTGACTCATTTACCGAACGAATAATCCCAACAACTGATATCTGAAAAATGCTTACATTCATTTTGTTCAACATACTTGACTAAATTCTATTCCACATGGAGACACAAATCTATCACCATCCTGATTTGCGGCCATTATTTCGGCACACGTACAAGGAACAATAGTACCCTGGTAACTAATCTTCTAAAGAAATTAACCCTATAAATTCAACCATTCAAAATAAGAACCTTTTGTCCAGTTGTGGCACCCATCGATGCCATATAACCTCCACCAAAATCACTTGTAGTTCCAATACTACTACCATAGTCTATAAAGGTAAAAAAATACAAAGATGAGTGTCTACCAGTTGACGACCACATGTTCCACTGCTTTTAAATCTACCCGACAGTTTTAAATTTAACCCTCCCGCTCAATGACCAAATGGATCAATTAGTTGTAAAACATTTGCTTGATGGGCTTCCGTACCTAGTAATGGTGAATCACTGATGTTACAAGCAAGGAGCCTGAGGATGTTTATTAACCGGAAGAGGAATACTGTTAAATAATAATGAAATATCGTCCTAACTACTTAATAATAAGTTTCCTCTTGAAAGACTACCGAGAAGTTGCTTCACTACCTCATCTGTCACCAGTATCTACAGCTAATTCTACTATGTTGTATCTCTGATATATACTTATAACCACTAAGTCTTGTGTTGAGACTGAGCTTGAGTAAGTATTTAATTGGGTGCTTAAGTGTTAAGAATGCGATAATTCATTAGAAAACCATAACTGAAATGCCTACATTACAGTGAGGGCATGTTCAGAGATTTGAGACGTCTTTCTCAGAGTTATACTTCAAGTACCAGAATTGATGAAATTAATAAAATTAGTTTTTAACGAGAGGGGGTTTTAATATTTAACCGCGATGGACCCCACTAGGGCATTCTGTAGCCTGAGATAAAGAAAAGTTACCCCTGGTCTATTTAGGTATAAAGTGAACCAATCTATTAATAGTAACTTAACACTTAACAGTTTATCTACTTGGGTCAACAAATAGTTTCAGAGATTTGTAGAGTGAACTGGAGCTTTCAATTAATTCGCTTTTGTTTCTGGTAGCGACAGGTCTTTGATACATTCAAATAGTAACCGGGTTATATGAAAACTGAATTCGGTAATCTAGTAAGTACATTATATTGCACAAGGCATGTTAGGACGGACGGCGATGTCCTTACATTTTTTTTCTTCTGTATCAGTCAATGTAGATTTCATCAGGTAATCCATTACATTCGTCTCCATAGTATGATGATTGAAATCGTCCACGATAATTTACGGTTTCTCAGAGGACAGGATTGTGTACGTCCAAACGTTCAAAGTTATCAATGATATTGATATCAGACAAGTACCGATAGTTGGATTTTTGGTTTTTACGAGGAGTGGAGTGGCTTGGACCAGCTTAACGTCCACCAAATCATTATTTAAAGGGTTGGATGATCGCTTGTAATCGTATGGTTACCAAGATTTCGGTGAAAGAGTAGGAAGGCCTGGATTTAACGTGACGTTCAGAGTTTATGGTACTGTCTGAAGTAGTCTCGAAGAGTGTCATCCACTTTTCTGTAGTGATGTGAACCAGTGCTTCGGTAATAATGTATCTATTAGGTACTGAAATTTATCACAGTGTAAAATGGCCCACACATATGAAAAGGTAGTAACATCCATTTCATCCTGATAACAGTCGTACCAAATCACGACAGGCTTGGTTGAAGAGAGCATCGACTTGCTGAAGACATTGCGTCGTTAATTTTTCAGTACTATTGGATGATCCTTACATGTGGGTGTGCCACACTGTCGTATTTCTTTACCTTTTCCTATGTATATAATACTTCATTTAGGAGTTTCGGATGACAGCTGGTGTTGAGGAACAGTATCTGGTTTTGAAAGCTGCGCGAGTTTAAAAACGTTCGCTCATTTGAACTCTCCAGGCAGTATACGAGGAGAGGTAACCGAAACAAGTGTTTGGTCCAAAATTATATTTCTATCTGAAGCAGTCTCTGAGTTGGAGTCCAGCAGTCATGACTTGGGAGGAGAGTACTTGTCTGAAGATCGAATTAGTGAAAAGATAAGGAATTCATGAGCACGATCAGTGTGAATTTTCAGCTTTTCACAGACTTCTGAAAAGGCCTCACGGCACAATATACAGCTAGGATTTCCTACCGAAAATGCTATATCTTGTGTCTGTGTCATACAGTGGACTCCAGAGGAGTGCCATTGGTTGTCAATTTCTCCCCAGCCGTTATTGTAAGACTTCTCTGATTTCTGAAACGGTAGCGTCAACGGAGTCAGTGTTAAATCGCGGTTATGTTTTTCGAGGTTATTTTTATTTAGGATGGATGATTTCAACATATTATCTATTGGTTACCGCATTAGCAAGAGAAATATATGTTTGTAGGTTTTGTTGATGAGTTACGAACACAACCATTTGAGCGAATTGTCAGTAAGAGCAGTTGAGCAAACCCCTTGAGAATTAAGAGAACCTTCGTGGAATTTATCCCACCAATGACAAAAATTCATTCCATGATCAGAAAATGGGTTGAGAGATGTATTTTAGCGGAATTGGTCCTAACCACATAATCCTCAAAGCTGAACATGAGGTAACTGGGATAATGCATATCCAATAATTAACACGAAGAGAAGGTCAACAATGGGGAAGGCGAGAAGAATCAATTGATTCAATCGGATGGCATGGCTCAGCCTCGCAGACGTGGTCATTCTGCATAACGTATCTTCATTCACTTTAAATATATTGATACATCTTTAGCCTGAATGTGTTCTTCAGGAGTACTAAGTATCACATTGTAAATTGTCGCGATACGATTCAGTGTAGACGATGATGTGACTTCAATGTAAGATCTTATAAACAAAGTTGTCATATTATGACAAATCTACAACTTTAGGATTGGGTCTTTTGTTAGAATAGTACTAGTAACTAACTTAGACTATAATTCAAGGTACTCCTGTAGGATATAAGTAACGCTTAAGCTAATAGCCACATATGCAGTGCCCAAAGTTTATCAACCCGTAGAGATCTACCTAGCTTAGAGCATCGCACAACACCATGTCAACTATATTTTTGACACAATCATTGTCGATCACTAAGTGTTTTTCTGTAATATATCGGCCCAGTCGAGTAACTTATAACTGCAAACCTTGTAACACTTAGCAATTTGCTTCTACCTGTAAACTGCCATGCCTCACGTAACCTAACATTATTCTAGAGTTTTCTTTTCTTTTTATAATACAACCAAAGCTACGTGCTTAATACTTTTCCGATAACCTGTCGGAGTTGAAACTTTGTGGACAGAATAGATATTTACTTATTCATCTTATGTTAGCGTTGGTTTCCTCGTTTTCCTATTGAAGGATAAATTGTTTAGGCCTCAAGTAGCTCCACCACATGCTCCACTTGTTCCTGTATTATATGAAAAAGGACTAGATCTACTTTAAAAGTCCCTTGATATTTATAATTAATGGGGCGTTAAATGCTAGTTTAACAGAACAGCCTTAATGTTTGGCAAGAAAACGTGAGCTTTTTTTATTTTATCATCACATTTTGTTATGAATACGACAAAATGTGACATGAATATAAAATGTGAATCCACTAGAAGCGAAAAGAAGATTCGGCTTGGTTTGTAGTCTGAGAAGGACCAAATATACGGCTTGATGAATGAGAATTTCGATTTCTTCGTTAGTTCAAGCGCTGCAAATTTATGGTTGCTCTACCCAACTTAATAGCATTAAGGACATTTCAAGAATGACAAAACAGTGGCATATTTACATTCACTGATGACTTTGGTCTCGTCTGTAGGAACACCCGTTTACTGTGAAATGTTAATACACATTTTCGTTCATGGATTGGCGATGATTTCAAACACTAATCACAATACGGTAGTTTTAAATCTTGTATAAAACGGACATAATTTTCAGCAAACATCCGAGTTTCTGATGTCTTTCACTCACTTCAACCTAAATTTTATCTGCTCATTATTTGTTGAAGCATACTATGAGGCATTAAAATATGTGAACATCACACAATAAAAAAAAGATTGTTAAGAGGTGTTTAAAAGACGAGTACGATGAAATATAAGCGGATTAAAATATGTGAGTGAGGGTAGAAAAGTGATAGTTAGGGAAGCAGTTCCGCTAAAAATTATGTAACGGTAAAGGCTTTTTTCAGTTATAGAAGTTACTCTCGCTTATATGACGAAAGTGAAGTTGAACTACAGCAAAACAGTCATTAGCTATTATTCTGAACCACATTTAATGAAGTTTCAAGCCACTGTATTTCACTATCTCTAGGACCATATCTAGAGAGCTTTGATGGACCAAACATGGTGTTACCATTGCATGTAAGCAATCTTTCGGAGACAACGACGATCAAACACTTAGTCATCTAACATCCTTAACTAGGAGAGGTCAGGTTTCACGAGTATAGAGCAGAGCAGCTCTCACCACCTCAGTGTAAATCCGGCAATTTATAGCCAAGGTTACTTCATGACAGCACTAAACATGGCCCAAATTGATAAAAGTCATCCGGGCATTCACGGTACGTGAAATGAACTCATCACCCTTGCTTCCCAGATACATTCTTTTTTCGACTACTCAAGACAGGTTGCCACAAAGTGAGTGTAGGCACGTTTTCCCAGCAGTCCTCTATAAAAAATGACATTTAGAATGTGTAAAGTATATGCCACACCAAACGGACATTAATTTTTTAATCACCAAGTGTGAATGGCGCAGCTTATGTATCAGCACATGGTGAAACGTCTGCATACTCAATGTCAAATAGTTTTTTCATTACCACCGCTGTCTGGCCCACGACAAATAGGTCTACACTAGCAAATTCAACGACTCCCTTCTGTACTTAGACTCTCGAATTGAGCATATACGTTTGGAGTTAATACAACCACATCTATCGAATGCGCTTCCGTGACTGCATATGAGCAGCAACTTGTCAAATCATAAGTGTAGTTGACAAAATTAGATCGGTTTTCACACATATTTCTTCAAACTTAGATGAAATCTAATAACACCTTATCAGAATGTTTCAGAGACACAATCGTTTCGTGCTGCTTCGGCCCTAGCACTACGTTGACGATAGGATGACCAGATAAATGTGCCACAGGATCCTCGAATAAATGCATGAGGAACAAGCTTTCGGAGCAACAGGTGGAGAGAGAACTTTGGATTCTTCACTAGGTTACTCAATACGAGCCTCGGATAGACTACAGACATCGATATCAAGGCTTTCTAAAGACATAACCAATCCTATATGTCGTTTCATTTGCATGAGGAATAGTCAAGTGACGTGATGCAAAATATT